ACTGTACAGTATATGCAAATAAGTCTAAAATAGTCAAGCTTAAAAACAAAACACTTATTTCACAAGATACACTTACAATATGTTGAAGAAATGTAGGAGGGACTCTATCTGCGATGTCTATATGTGAAGTGTCCAAAGTGATGGGTTCCAGAACAGCGACTCCTTTAAGTCAAACAGAAAATCCTAGGGAATCTAGAGATAAAGGTACATCGGTAGGAAAGTTTCAATCAAGAACCCAAGATGATAAACTCAGCCTGAGCCTATTTATTTTAAAACAGTGGTTTGCAACCTGTGGTCCGCAGACCGCTTGCGGCCTGCAAACTATGTCTAAGGGGTGCACAAAAGCTGACTATGAAAATAAAGTTTCAGATCCCAGAAAATGCATTCCGTTCTTCTGATCAAAAGTATGCGACTACCCCCAGTCAAAACTTGGAAGTGTTGTTGTTACCACAGAAGCCCACAGTTTAGCGCCTTTTCTCATGCGGTGTCAAATGCCATGCTAAGCATGTGCACCATTTACAGTTGAATTCTGTTCAGTCAGTTTTCAGTCCAAGACTTCTATGGTAGGGGTCTGCGGACCACAGGCTGAATTTCCAAAGGGGTCTGCATCTCCATGTGAAATTTTTTAGGGGGCCCCAAATGAAAAAAGGTTGGAAACGACTGTTTGAAATCATCCTCAACCATTAGCCAGGGAGCAGCAACATAAGGAAGGTCAGGTCTCGCCTTTAGTATTTTTTTAAATACAGTTCTTATTTTTGCTTGGTGACTTCCACTTGACAAATGGATGAATGGTCTCTCTTATTTGACGGATGTGGCACGAAAACCAAGATTAGACAGAAATTCAGCTACATCTCCATTGGGAAAGCTAATATTGCCTTTCCGAGTACTCTTCTTTCTCACTCAGTTGCATGCTGTGCTTCACCCAAAGCACCGTTATCTCCACAGCCCACGTTCAGACATGCAATGAGCATTAACTTGTTTATTTACTTGCTCTGGACATTCTTACATCAATTTTAATATTTCACAGTATCAATGATTCAAAGCATCATATCGCAGCGTAATAACTCAACTGGTTACTGACAGGGGTTAAGAAAGGTGAAGCATCTGTCAGAGAATGGAAGGATACCTTATTGTTGAAGAATGGGATAGGGAATGAGATCTGGACTTGAAATTTCAAAAGTTGCATACATACAACTGTGCATAAAGTTGCTGCCATTGTGTAAGTATTGCACAAGTTTAGGCCCTGGGTTCTATAATTGGCTCTGCCACAGCCTTCCTCTATGACCTTGGAAAAAGTACTTAATTGCTCTGCCTGCGTTTTCCCAGCCATAACATGAGGATGCCAACCCGCTTCTTTGGTATATTGTGAGGCTTGGTTTATATCTGTAAAAGATTACAAGATGCTTAGATACATACAAGTGCAAATCATAGTGAACTCGTATCAAGGACCCTGCAATACCATTGACAAGCTACAGTCTAAGCCTTGACACCAACAGTAAGCTCCAGAAGGCATGCCCAGCAAAGGAAACATCAGGCAGAATCTAGGGCCAGGATTTTCTACTTATACAAGAATTAAGCACATTAGTAGAATACGAAGGGGAACAAAATGCAAGAGGGAGACAAAGGAGTGGCGGGGACGTGCACAGGGAGAGGGTGCGTTTTAGAATAAAATTAACAGTCTGAATGCTACACAGCAGGTTTCCCAAAACAGAAATGAACTCATCCTTGTGAATTTAAAAAACAGGAGAAGAAAGTCACAAGAGCAAGAACATTCAATTTTGGTTTTGCTCTTATCCCCTTGTGATTGTGGCAAATGTGAACAATATTGCCAGTTGACACAGTCCAACCAGCTGTCAACGAGGAGGTCACGCAGCCAGCCATTAATGCTATGTGACATTGGTAATCCAACTCTGGGTTGAAATATCAGTCAAATATGAAAAAAAATTAAAAAATACAGCTTTTCCTTTTGCTTGAGGCCATTTTCAGCCTCTCCAAATCAAGAGACTGGTGCGTTGCTAATAAAATTCCACAAAACTCTTAGATGTTAACCCCCAAAACTGGCCAAATTCTTATTTGTGTAATTACATTCTGTCCACCGTTTTCCGCTTACATTGTCAGTTCTTTACGTTCTCTTCCAAACTGTTAATACCATTGTATACTCTTAAAGAACACAGTCAGGTTAGTTATTTCTAAAATTTTTATATATATATATATTGTCCCCCTCTTACTAACATCAGATTATTCAAACTGAAAGTATTTCTGCAATCTAAGTTTACAGTGCACCATGTGTGATCCTTTTCCACTTAATTCAATCTGGATAATTAACTAATCAAGAACATCTTGGAACTTAAGTGAAAATGTTGATTTCCAATGCACCAGTCACAGCACTACCAGGTTTGGATTGTAAAAAGTGTAAGTTTAAATCCAATTCAGAATGCCCACTTAAAAAAATAAAGCCCAGTTATTTGATAGAGAGATTCTAATTATTACCTCAACACCTAGACAACGCAGGAATGATGGTGTATGTTAATTAAATGGATCTAAAATGTTTACCTCTGCCGTGAGTTACCATGGTTTCATGGATTTAGAAGGGAAAAGTGATGTATTTGATGTTCTGCATTTGAAACTGTTTCCTGGATGGATCTTTTGAAAAGTGAATTACCAACAAAAGTACTGATACGCAATGTGTACATTTTGGTTTCTTCTTGTTCTTTGACATGAATTCACCGCATGCAAGGAAGTAAACCACTTTGGCAATGAAACCTCTTTTACATTCTCAGTTTGAAACTTCTGATAAAGAGGATAGGAATTGGCATTCAGGATAATTTGCTTCTCCACCCAGACATTGTTTTATTTTGATTAACACAGCCCAAAGTAGGGCTGAGCAAGGGTAGAAGGAAGTATAGAAAGAGATAGCATATGGTTGGTATCCAACAGGTACAAATAGCAACTCTGCCCTGAATCCAAACTAGAGTAAATTATTATACAATTATTACAGTAGTTCCTGAAGGCCACAGTCACGACTGTGGGGAAGGGATGGTCTTCTACAGAATGGGGAAGAGGATGGTCCCTCCCCATTACAGCCAATCAGGAGCCTAAAGAAAGGTGAAGAGAAATAGATCAACATGATTTTAGCTGGTTTTAACTCACCAAGGGACAAATAAAGGAATGAAGGTAACACCTTTATGCAAATGTATATTTATCTTGTGCTGGGGTAACAGGTGCATATGAACAGAACTTCAACAACTTTCGACATACAGAATATTAAAGAACACTGAAAGCTGGAAGGTCTCCCAAACCCACTAGATATTTCTCCCAAATTTTAATACCTACAGGATACGACAGACACGCCAAACATATACATGAGGGATATCCCCAAGACATTAAAGACTGTGCAAATTATTGGTTAACAAGGAAGAGACCCCATAGATCTATATCACCTGAAAAGGGAGATGTTAAAAGGCAATGCACATTTTATCTTGGATCAATACAAAACATTTGTAGGACTACTTGACAGAGATGTCCTTTTGCTATTGTAAGGCTTCAACTTGTGTCTTGATGCTGAAAAGGCTTGATTGACCACTAATGGACATAGTTCCTTTGAAAGTTAAATGATAAACATGAATCTGTCACCAAAAATTTCCAGTTTAAGAGTTTTGCCATAAGACACAACAGGTGTGTCTACATAAGTTCATTTTGTACACATGCCTGTACCTACAGCATCAGTGTGAGACTTAAGTTTCCAGGCAAGTAGCTAGAAGGATTAGTGCTATCTGCTGAAAATTGGTTTGTGGCACAACCACAAATATATAGCCACAAAGTTGTTTTTTCTGTTGTAACCCCAAATAAGCCTTTACACAAGTTAGTAGAAATTACATTGCTTTGGCCATCAGCATGGTATATAATTTTTACTATGATCACTATTACAAGTCATTCCACTTTTTATAACTGTCTTTACATGTCCTCTTGTTATATGGCCTAATCCAAAAAGCTACAGCTGATCTCAAGTGGTGAATAAGGAGGGACAGTAATTGAATTATAAATACAAAAAGTATATACTACTAAGTTTAGGCATAAAAGTATATTTGGTTCAAAATTCAACCAATAATTTTTTTAAATAGTTGGTTTAATAAGAGATGTGTTCTCTGGAAGTTTTAATGCCTCTAAACAAGGCCTAATTACCCATTCTAAAAATATTTACCGACAGATCCAGCAGAGTTAGTTAGTAGAGGGAATAAACTTACACAACTATTCCTGGAGCTTTTTCAGCTGTGACACTTCAGATTCCAAAAGGACCTGCCTCATGCATAAAAAAAAATCCCTATGTTTGTCGTATCCAAATCACAGGAAGAGTAATTTTAAAGCATGCGATGGAGTATTAAACAGGATTTTTTTAAAATTCATAGCTGAACATTAACAGAATTTCAATAGAGCACTGTACTGAAGTCTGATAAGTGTTCAGTCAAATATATTAGACCAGAGCTTGAATAAAATAAGTGAGATAAATTCTGTCTATACACACCTAACATTTGAGAATTTAGAATGTTCTCACGGGACTGGACTTAATCATTTTCACTTCACTGGTTAAGCCTCTGACACTCATTTTCTAATATGTGAGTTAATGCAGGGTTTCTAAAGGATGCAAAACCGACAATGCTACAAATGGAAAGATTTTACTCCAGAAACAGGCACAGCACATGCCCTGGCAGTGCAAGTGCACAACATATTGCCAATGTGCCTCCATCCCATTTATAGCAATCATTTCTAGTGGTGACAGTACATCAGACTCCAAGGCGATTTAGTCACTAACCGCAAACAAGTGTCCCCATTTGTTTCAGTTATGTGGGCCACATTCGTACTAGTGAGCTAGAGCTGTATGCCTCTACATCCTGTTTCTCATCACTACTCCAAGAGTAATTTACCTAAGGCTTAAGGTAATTTTGTGAGAAGGTTGCTTTAACTAAACAAACACCTTTCTAATTATCACTCACTTCTCTAGAAAATTTTAAATAAAAGTTTATTAGAGAAATTACTTTGAACAAAAAAAGGCAACAATATTTGTTTTGTCATTTAGAAAAGTAACATTGTTTTCTTCATGCCCTATTAGGTGAATTGAAGAAATGCTACAGAAAGATATTTCTTTTCACTGCCTTTCTGCGATGCATTCTAGCATGGATTAACGCGTGTCTGCATCACTAGAATAAATTATGAACAGTTCTTTTCCATGCTTCTCTCCAGAAAGTGCTGCATATTAACAGAAAATGTTGCACAAAAAGCCCCCACATTTCTTGTCATTCTGCAGTATTGGAACCAGTATCTAGAAAAGAAAGAGAAAGTGTATAAATAAATACAGATAACTCGTACTCAACTTTGCAATGTCTTAACAAAAAATGAACATTCTCTATGTTGGAAAATGTTTCCCTGCTGACCTCAAAATACAGTGATTTAGCATCTGTATTATAAAAGCTGAAACAGTGCCACACCTGGATAATTTTGTTTCCATATGTATCCTCCTTCATTGCCAGGAAGAAAGTGTGGCACAATTGTGTTATTTTACTTGGTAGGCAGTAATGAAAACTTTGAACACAAAAAGTCGCTGTCCCCATACAGAGTTTGCTAATAAGTCCCCATTTTTAAAAACTGAAGTAAGTTTGCTCTAAATTAGAGTAATACACTTAAACACTTGATTCTAGCCAGCTTACAAGATATGCTCTTGGGGCATGCAAGTGCTAGAAAGCCATGTAGTCTGTTCAAGAGATAGGTCATTAGATGTCGGATAGTGACAACGTACAGGCATTTGTAGAGACTGGGCAATAGTGTATTTAACATAGATTTATAGACATAAGAGTTCTTTATAAAGCTGAATTACTTAAACACACAAGCAACAGTGTATTCTGTAAGAGAGAGGCTGCAAGCTGATATTGCTATTTCTTATATTTGCAACTGTTACCTCTCTCTTATTCCTGGTGGCATGGGACAAATGAGTAGTCTAGTTACTGACACGAAGACAAGATAACAATGGATAGGAGAGTCCTTATTTTAAGAAGCTAACTATTTGCTGAAAAATACTAAAGATATCGTCAGCAACTTTATGGTACCGTGGTCTTCAAATCCGGTACTTATACTGTGATATTATAAATGGAAATTATTCAGACATGGAAAATTACATTTTCCTTTAACTGCTACAATAAATACATCTTAAGAAACAAAGAGGTGAATCAAGGTGACATGCATGCCCAACATTAAAGACAAGGTACTTGTAAGGAATAACTTATCAATCGTTGAGAATCAGTTACTCTAAAAATATCACAACAATCGTGCCAAGGCCAGAGAGCCCTAAAGGATCAGTTCCATGCGCCAAGACTTTTTTTTAGAAGATGTACTATAAAGGGTTTTCTGCTCTCACTTCTTCCTTTTAATCTATTAAGAAAGGAATCTTAAGCAACTGAAATCCATCAGCTAGAAACTATGAAAGTTATTCTTTGGTAAAGCATTTCAATAGAACAGTTGGCTAAACAAGCCAGACAAGTAGAGAGTACATATGAGCTAATGACCTTCCATGGACAGCATATATGTGGCAGTCAAGACAGAGTGCACAAATTACAGGACTTGGTCTGTAATACTAAAAAGACAACATTTCTCAAACCCTGGGATCCCTCAGTCTCCTAAGAACAGAACTAATGTTTCACCAAAGGCTTCCAACAATGCCCTTATTAGTCACTTATTGCTGCTGAACCAACTGTGACACTTTTCATCCTTTGGATTAGACCTTTGTGTCAGTGGCATTCTGATAACCAGAAGGTTAATGAGACTTGGGAGAAATTTAAGTACTTCAAAGAGCAATTTCTTCTGTAGAAGTAATTCCTATTTTGTTATTGTAATTGTTTTATATAATTTAGTAACTAATGACCATTAAGGCCTAGTCACATTTATCTTTGTTAATACTTTAGCTTGTCACAAGCATATTTATGCTTATTCGTACACCACTAAAATCCAGTCCCCAGGCAGCTTTAACTAAAATAGCTTTAAATAAGACAATGATGCAATGCAGAACACACTTGTAACTTGCTCATCTGAATTAATCATCTAATTTCTGCATGTGTGCAGGAGGGTCGTGCACTCCTGTTTTAGTCTGAGTTACACAGGATGTAACCAGAGGTAGAAGATAGCCTGTGATTGGAGCTATTTAAGAACTCTGGCTGCACAAAGTGTATTTCATAATATCTTTCAAGTCTTCTCTGCTAACCTAATATTTATACTGCGGTTCAGTACTATACTTACTTTTTCCATCACATGCAACAATTTTCACTTTATCCACTTTCACGAGTTCAGTTACCTCTCTAAATTCAACATCGTTCAGTACAAAAGTCCACACATTATCACAGAATCTGTATGTATTCAGAGAGCCCTTTAAAAGAAAGATGTAACATAAAAAAAAACTATTTTCAAAAGATCTCCAGTACAGTAACAGAAATAAAGTTATTCTTGTAGCTACAGCTAAAAAATTCTTAACATTTGAAAAATTGTCATCTTATCTGCTTCTAAAAATAGTTAAGAAGTTTACGGATATTCATTAATTTAAAGTAGGTGCTTTTATATTTATAACCAGATTGGATGTGCTGCTTTTATTAAACTAACTGTGAGTCAGAACATGCAATCCTAAAATCTAAGAAACACAGATTTAAGCAAATCTGAGGAAAATTGTTTGAGTGCCCCCAAGTGGTAGAAATTCTCAGGTTCATACAAGAACATTATGCAAGTAAGGAAGATCATCATAAAAAATAGCCAATCTTCTGAAACGGTTATGAGTTTTCCAAAGTACACGAAGAATGAGGTCACAGGCTTCATCAGCAAGATTTATGTAAAGAGGAGATTATGGGTCATTTATAAGCCTTTCACTTATTGATTCCTTCAAATAGGATAAAAGTTCTGTGTGATAAAAACAGTCACACTATTCTCCCTTTGGCTTTCTGAATACCACAGTAGTATAAGTTAGTGGTTTCTACCAGGGGTACACATATCCCTGGGAGTACGCAGAGGTCTTCCAGGAGGTAGAACAACTCGTCTAGATATTTGCCTAGTTTTACAACAGGCTACATAAAAAGCACTAGCAAAGTCAGTGCAAACTAAAATGTCATACAGACAATGACTTGTTTCTACTGCTCTATATATTATACACTGAAATGTAAGTACAATATTTATATTCTAATTGATTTATTTTATAATTATATGGTAGAAATGAGAAAGTAAGCAATTTTTCCAATAATAGTGTGCTGTGACCCTTTTGTATTTGTGTGTGTGATTTTGTAAGCAAGTAGTTTTTAAGTGAGGTGAAACTTGAGGTACGCAAGACAAATCAGACTCCTAAAAGGGGAACAGTAGACTGGAAAGGTTGAGAGCCACTGGTAAAAGTGTTAACACTGACAGGATGAACGATGGGAGGGGGGAAAAAAATCACACAAAGAGAAGTAGAGCTACATGACCCGAGATGGAAATTGATTATTATTTTTGTTTTCTGAATAAATGACAGGGGTTTGTTACTTTTTTGTACATTTCTATATATTTTATATCATTTACAAAGTCAAAAACACATAATTCATGTACAGCTCATCTCAGATGATTTTTACTTGAGGCTACTTGCCGATTTAGACCCAGTGTGTGAAAGATTTTTATTTTCATTCTTCATTTAAAACACATGCTATACACTTGTTAAATCAACCAGTGTTTCTGGACTTAAACGGGTTCATTTGTGATGCTGGACCTCCTCTCAAAGTCAAATTCAGACTGACATTTGAGAAAGGGTTTGTTTCACTTCGAAAGTCTATTTCAGTAATCACGAACATTTCTTTGCTCCAGAGTATTCAAAACAGAAGAAGAATGAATATCAAAAACATCTCAAAGGCAGAATATGAAAATTAGGAAGTTTTATTAATTTGGCAGATGATAGAAAATTTGTACTATGAGTTTAACATGACCTAATCAAAATGATAAAGTACAGTGGTTGGATAGCTTATGAGTTTACATTAACTGTTACCCTTATTCCAAGGATGGATGCACAGGGGCTTGTTGGTAATGGAACTCTGCAGGGGGGGTCCAGGTAAAGGTGGTTGTGGCTCAGTGGGGGAGAGAGAAGGGGGGGTGTCTGGGTGTGATAGAACTCAGCAGGGGAGTCTGGGTGTCGAGGGATCCAGATGTTGGGCTCAGTGGGTGGGGATCCAGGTGCTGCTACTTGGGGTTCAATGGGGTGGGAATCCGGGTTGCTCATCTGGATGGTCCAGGTGCAGCGGGAATGGAGCTTATCAGGGGGTTCTCAGTGCAGGGAGATGAGGCTCGGTGGGAGGGTCTGGGGGAGAAATCTGGATGTAGATCTGACCCGGCCCCAGATGTTGTGCAGGAGAAGAGGAAGTCCCGTCCACCCCAGCCCAGTTAGGACTAGCAGCTGAGCCCAGTGCAAGGTAGCAACCACCCGCTGTGTCTTCCCCAGTCCCGCCCCCTAACCCACAGTGATTTACCTCTCTGCCGGCCGCCCTGGGCACCCAAAACATACTGCTGGGAGGGTAACATGATTGCTTTTGTGGCTTCCCTGTCAGAAAGTCATTCTGCGGGAGGGGGATGGGGGTGTATTCACTGAATCATGCATGGTTAATAAACTATTTTATTTCACCTCATTTCTGTACACTGTGTCCAAGGAAGTTACAGACTACCTGCCTCCCAAATATTGAGCTCAACCAGAAATGAAAATGCCCACAATAGAAACCAAAAATCTCTATTTGGCATTCATAATTCAGACCTTGCAGCTGAATGCCTTACCATTATAGGTAACATTAACTAGCTGTTCAAGCCAAATGTGCAAAACAATTAAGCTAATCAAGAAGGGGTGCAGGGAAGAGGGTGATTGAGCACTCCTCTCTGAAGTGTTTAAATGATTGCATAACATTTTAGTCACCTATCCCACTATACACTAGTGATTTAGGAAGCATGAATTATCCTCTTTAGAGCATTTTGGAATACCAGCAACTAATTTAATGTAGAGCTGGCAGGATCTTACTTTTCACTACCTTTCCTCTAAATCCCTGTCAACTTTCTGGCTGCTGTATATCTTGGACGATTCCATGGCAGAATTGTGACAACTACATGAAACTCAAACAGCCTCCAGGAAGTTAGGCAACATATTATAATCACATAAATAAGCAGGAATTTAGTTCAACATGCTACAGCTAGCCATAGAATGTTGGAAGGGACCTCAGGAGGTCATCTAGTCCAACCCCCTGCTCAAAGCAGGACCCATCCCCAACTAAATCATGTGGAGTAACACAACAGTATTATTTTTAGAAATAAAGTGGACCCTTAAAAGACTTGTTTCCATCCATAGCAGACAGAGATAACAAGCCTTATAGTTCTCAGTGCGGTGTCTGAACACTGATGGAGAATACCAGTTAGATGGGGACTTTAGTATTTAGTGCACTTACCCTGAAATTGACTCTGTTCCTGACCCGTTGTGCCAATGCTGAATTTATAGCCTTGTCAAACTGAAGTAGCACTTGAAGGGCAAGCTGAGGGGTGATCTGCTGAGACTATGGTTTAAAAAAAAACAAAACCCTTGACTTTATAACTGATTCAAAAATGCATGAAAATGGATTATCGACGCAAAGCTTTCATGTAACAAACCTCAAGATGTAGACTAGTTTTTCTAGTAGCTTTATTGGAAATATATATTTATGACTTTATATTTAATAAGGAAATGGAGTAAAGTGAAATTTGTTAGTTTTTGTAACTTTGTAGAGGAGACAAACTTGACCAACATGCAAAGAGAGAGTATTTTCCAGAAAACATGCAGTAATTCCCACATTTGAATTGTCTTTGCATCCATGGCCTACAGCCTCCTCTACATACACACAAGACTAGGAATTGACATCAGATTTCATCACATCAAAATTGTCAGTTCACTCTAGACCCAGAATCTCTTGATTAGTGACTCATCGAGCCAAACCTGACAGGGACAGCGCCAGCCTGCAGCACAGTCCAAAGTTACTTAGCAAAATCAATTGCAAAGACTGGAAATCTGAGATTTGATGAGACAGATGAGTCTCAGAGTCCAATAATTAAAATACAAAGAGAAGGAAAAAGAGTTTTTTGGTAGTTAGCTGGCACTCATGAGGAAGCCTAAAAAAGGCATCCCGAAATTGTGTGTCACCCCAACTAGGTTTTATCCTCTTTATGTGAAAGTTATTAACAAAGGCTTCTTTACTCATGGAAAAGGAACAAGTTTGCTATTTTAGAGGTTTTTGTTACATCAAAGATTCTGGGCAAAACCACATGTGCTAAATATTCATTATGGATGACTGGAATAGCAACATCAAATAGGTAGTTTCAGGTTATAGGTCAGACTTTCATTTACTAGGATACACAAAAGTTGGCCTCTTAATTTGCATAAGATGCTTTTCTTCAACCGAAATACTTAAATGAGAAACTTGCTTTCATATTTCAATGAAATGCTAAATGGCAGTTTTAATTTTTACTTTTAATTTCATATGACAGTTTGATTTTTCAAGTAATCAACTACAGAGAAATGAGTAACATACCTGCATTTGAAGTGCAGTGCTTTTAGTTCTTAACACTGTCTAGCTGAGTAGTTTGGAAATTTAATTAAACTGTTAGCTCACTGCTTAATCATACTTCACATTGAGTTACTTGTCTCCCACCTGTATGAGCTCATCCAAGCTCTCCTGAAGGCTGTTCCCCAGTGTGGTGTTTCTATACAGTTGATACGCCATGGTTTATAAAGATGAGAGAAGTGTTACTGATCATCCACAGCTATGAAACAGCCAATAGGTTTCACACTTTCATTGATGGCCTAGAAAATCCAATAGGACAATTACTGAGCTGAAAAAATAATCAAAAGCAGCAACATAGGGGAAAAAAATGACCGGACAATGAATAGCAAGCAGAATGCCTTTAATCTCAAATTGGATATAGCTTAATTCTTTGCTATTTAAAAAATATTATCTGTAAGTTGTCAAATTTTTCATTACACGATGGAAGAAAAAACAATTTGACTGAACAGACAAATAAGGAATTGAATGCTACTCTATATCTTTCTTTCACAATGTTTTTCAATATTATTAAGTCTTACTTTGGGTAAGTATTTAATTGTATTTCACCAGTTCCTTTATGCAGATTTTTTCCAATACCTGTTTGCTCAGATATACAATTCACATAACAAGAGTTTCTGAGCCAGCTTTGAGAAAAACTTATTAGTTACCTACAAAGGATACCAAGATGCTGCTTTTTTATTTTAAGGAATACTTTATTCGCTTACTGTTAGAATTAATGATGGGTATTTTTAAAACAGAAGACTCTACTCAAAAAACGAACAAACAATTGTCTTACAGAATCAGTGAACAGCACCAGACACCCTGAAACCTTATACTCATTACCCATGAAAAGAGTACTGGCCTGGACCAGATTCTTCAGAAGAAAATTTAGCACCCCAATACCAACTATGACACTCAAAATTCTTCCTAACAGTAAACAGTTAGCTGTTGGGTTATATTCTTCCCATTTTTAGCCTTATAAACAATATAAACAGCTAGTCTTTTAACAGCATTAATGTAGGTTACAGAGGTAACAAGGAGCACTTGCTACAGTCTTAACATATCATGTATATTTTGTTTTTCTCAGGACACTGCACAGGACAAAAGAGAAGAGAAAATCTGGCAAAAGGGTCTAATGTCAAGGGACTGTTGCGGTGTTGGAGGCACATTCCTTCCTCTTCCCAAGAATCACTGCACTTAGGTCATCAAAATTTGGGACCAGAGGGGACTTTGAGAGGTCAGATAATGCAGCCCCTGTGTTGAGGCAGGACCAAGTAAACCTAGACCATCCTGACAGGTGTTTGTCCAACCTGTTCCCCAATGATGGGGATTCCAGAACTTCCCTTGGATGCCTGCTCCAGACCATAAATACTTTTATAGCAAGAAAGAGTTCCCCTAACATTTAACATAAATCTCCCTTGCTCCAGACTGCGCCTGTTACTTCTTGTCCTACTTTCAGCCGACATGGAGAGGAAGTGAGCCCTATCCTAACGTATCCGGAGACTGTTATGAGCCCCCCTCATTCCCCACGGAGTCTTTCTCGTCCCAAGTCCAGCCAAACCCCGGTGTTAGCCTCTCCCCTGAGAGCACATTTTTAAACCTCTTCACATTTTCCTTGCTCTCCCCTGGACTCTGCAGGAGCGCAGTGCCCAGCCCGGGACTCAGCCAGCACCCGGCAAAGGGCTGCTCACGCCCAGGAGACCAGGCTCGGCATCGCAGGCCCCCGCCGCCCGCCGCGGACTCAACAACTGGTAGCGGGGCTCTGCCCAGCCCCGTCTCACAGACCCTCCCCTTCACCTGCTGGGGGCAAATCCCTCCCAGAGCGACGGCACCTTCCGGCCTCTCCCGCTCCAACCGTCCGCGACAGCGGAAGGACCTCGCACCTCTAACCCGGAAACAGAGGAAGTGAACCGGAACCGGAAACTTCCGAAAGCCGCGGGTCCCGCAGGCCTTTCCGGAGGCAGCGGCGCGGGGGTGCTGGGGACGGCTAGGGGGATGGGCCACGGGGCCGTCTCCCTGGGGCGCAGGGCGGGTCCTAGCAGGCGGGGCGGGGCTCAGCCTCAGCCTCAGCCCCAGCGCAGGGGGACGTGCGTGATCCCTAGCCCGGCCCAGGGGTTACCGAGCGTGTGGCCAGCCTGAGTCTGCGGGCTGGGCCGGTTCCCTTCCCGTGGGGCCCGCTCGGGGGCGGGGGGGAGGCTCAACAGTCCGGGCTGCGCCGTCTGTGACATCCAGCGCCCCCGTTAGCTCGTGCCCGCCGCTGCCGGTGTAGCGTATTGAACTGCTCCGCGTAGGAATGCGCCGCTGGCAGCAGGTACTGACACGTCCCGGATTGTAAAAAACCGCTACCGCCGTAAACAGCCACCTGCTGCCGCAAGCGCCTACGGGTAGCAGGTTCTTACGCTCTCGTGTATGTGAAATTGCTACGTGCAGAAATGTGGTAGTTGTAGCAGTTATTTATAGGGGTAGCTTGTAAGAAACAGCTTTTGTAAAGAGATTCTTCTTCCCTCGTAGCTCGTGTTTTCTAGACCTTTTTTTTTTTTTTTTCTTTGCTCTGGACTCTCTCCAGTTTGTCTACTTCTTTCCTGAAATGTGGTGCTCAGAACTGGACACAGTGCTCCAGTTGAGGCCTAATCAGCGCAGAGTAGAGCGGACATCCCAGAGTGATCTGTTTTTTTGCAGCAGCGTTAACGCTGTTCACTCATATTCAGCTTGTGGTCCACTGGGACCCCCGCTTCCTTTCCGCAGTGCTCCTTCTTAGGAAGTCATTTCCCATTTTGTATGCGTGCAGCTTATCATTCACAAACTTTATAATTGTACTCTCTATGCCTTTATCTCAAGTATTGATTAAGATTTTTAATAGAAACTTATCCAGAACTGATCCCTGGAAAACCCCACTTGTTATGCCCTTTCACCTTGTGAATCACTGATAACTACTGTCGGAACCGTTTTGCACCCATCTTATTTTAGCTCCATCTAGGTTGCATTTCCATAGTTTGTTTATGAGAAGGTCATGGGAGACAGTATCAACAGCCAAGATAAGCCAAGATAGACCATGTCAACCACATCCCCTCTCCCCCCCCCCCCCCATCCACAAGGCTTGTTACACTGTTCAAGAAAGCTATCAGTTTGGTTTTACATGTGAGACTGCTTGAATTAGCTACATCAGATGTCCTTTTTTTTTCAGCAAAATAGGACCTGTTGCTGCTGCATATGTTTCTGGATGGTACAAGGCCCTGAAATCTAATCATAGAATCAGAATATCAGGCTTAGAAGGGACCTCAGGAGGTCCTCTAGTCCAACCCCCTGCTCAAAGCAGGACCAATCCTCAACTAAATCATTCCAGCCAGGGCTTTGTCAAGCCGGGCCTTAAAAAACTCTAAGGAAGGAGATTACACCACCTCCCTAGGTAACCCATTCCAGTGCTTCACCACCCTCGTAGTGAAAAAGTTTTTCCTATTATCCAACCTAAACCTCCCCCACTGCAACTTGAAACCATTACTACTTGTTCTGTCATCTGCTACTGCTGAGAACAGTCTAGCTCCATCCTCTCTGGAACCCCCTTTCAGGTAGTTGAAAGCAGCTATCAAATCCCCCCTCATTCTTCTCTTCCGCAGACTAAACAATCCCAGTTCCCTCAGCCTCTCCTCATAAGTCTTGTGCTCCCGCCCCCAATCATTTTTGTTGCCCTCCACTGGACTCTTTCCAATTTTTCCACATCCTTCTTGTAGTGTGAGGCCCAAAACTGGACACAGTACTCCAGATGAGGCCTCACCAATGTTGAATAGAGGGGAACGATCACGTCCCTCCACCTGCTGGCAATGCTCCTACTTATACAGCCCAAAATGCCGTTAGCCTTCTTGGCAACAAGGGCACACTGTTGACTCATATCCAGCTTCTCATCCACTGTAACTCCTAGGTCCTTTCCTGCCGAACTGCTGCCGAGCCATTCGGTTCCTAGTCTGCAGCGGTGCATGGGATTCTTCAGTCCTAAGTGCAGGACTCTGCACTTGTCCTTGTTGAACCTCATCAGATTTCTTTTGGCCCAATCCTCTAATTTGTCTAGGGCCCTCTGTATCCTATCCCTACTCTCCAGTGTATCTACCACTCCTCCCAGTTTTGTGTCATCTGCAAACTTGCTGAGGGTACGGTCCATGCCATCCTCCAGATCATTAATTAAGATACTGAACAAAACCGGCCCCAAGACTGACCCTTGGGACACTCCGCTTGTTACTGGCTGCCAACTAGACATGGAGCCATTGATCACTACCCGTTGAGCCCAACAATCTAGCCAACTTTCTATCCACCTTATAATCCATTCATTCGGCCCATACTTCTTTAACTTGCTGGCAAGAATACTGTGGGAGACTGTATCAAAAGCTTTGCTAAAGTCAAGAAATAATACGTTCACTGCTTTCCCATCATCCACAGAGCCAGTGTCTCGTCATAGAAGGCAATTAGGTAGTCAGGCAGGACTTGCCCTTGCTGAATCCATGCTGACTGTTCCTGTTCACTTTCCTCTCTTCTAAGTGCTTCAGAATTGATTCCTTGAGGACCTGCTCCATGATTTTTCTGGGGACTGAGGTGAGGCTGACTGGCCTGTAGTTCCCCGGATTCTCCTTCTTCCCTTTTTTAAAGATGGGCACTACATTAGCCTTTTTCCAGTCGTCTGGGACCTCCCCCGATCACCATGAGTTTTCAAAAATAATGGTCAATGGCTCTGCAATCACATCCGCCAACTCCTTTAGCACTCTCGGATGCAGCATATCCGACCCCATGGACCTGCACTCGTCCAGCTTTTCTAAATAGTCCTGAAACCACTTCTTTCCTCACAGAGGGCTGGTCACCTCCTCCCCATGCTGTGCTGCCCAGTGCAGCAGTCTGGGAGCTGACCTTGTTCGTGAAGACAGAGGCAAAAAAAGCATTGAGTACATTAGCTTTTGCCACATCCTCCGTCACTAGGTTGCTTCCCCCATTCAGTAAGGGGCCCACACGTTCCTTGGCTTTCTTCTTGTTGCCAACATACCTAATGTAAACACATTCACCCTCACGGGGCACATCACTATACAAAAAAAGTTGTGTCTGTGCCTGTAGTGGGGTGGCTTCCCCACTCCGATAAGCAGGGGGTTAAAAGCAGCCAAGGTAGGCTGATTGGGGGAAGCAGCCACAGCTGTGGCCAGCTCAATTGGGGCCCAGCTGGCCCGGATAAGAGGGCTGTGGGCCAGACACTGGAGAAGTCTCACTCTAGCCCTGGAGTGGGAGGGGGTGCAAGGTACCTGAAGTGGAGCAGTGCTGAGGAAGGGCAAGGGGAGCTGGGGAGCTCCAGCCTGGTAAACCCCCAGGCTGCAGGCCTTGATGTAGGCCTATGAAAAGCTACTGGGGCTGCAGAGGGGCAGCCCGGGGATAGGCAAAGGCAGCAGGTCCTAACCCCTTGCCAATGATGAGTGGCCATGACAGACTGCAGTCTGCCCCAGTGAGTGGGGGTAGATGACGACTGGCAGTAGCCACTGAGGCCAGGTGAGTTTAGAGGGTTGGGGGTAGACATAGTAACCGTAGCGACTCTATGCTGACATAACTTGAGTTAGGCTCGAGGCATTGGAACTGGCCTTACTGCGCCCTACAGCCTCAGGAACAAAGAGGCACATAAAAAAATCATTTATTTATTAAAATTTCTTGACTGGAAGATGTATAACTCATGATTTTAGAATTCTTGGGGTTGTAGATGTATCTTGGGGTTGTAGATATGTTGTCATATTTTGAAAGGCAAAACTAGGAATGGGTTGAACAAAGAATTTGATCAGTCCCTCAGGATAAGTACACTGGCTATTAGCCAAGATAATCAGGGATGCAGGCCCATGCTCTGCGTGTCCCAAAACCGTGCTTTGACTGCCAGATGCTGGGAGTGGACAATGGGATGGTTCGCTGAGTCATTGCCTGGTCTGATCATTCCCTTAGAAGCACCTGGCATTGGCCATGATCACAAGACAGGATACTAGATTAGGCCGACTATTGGTCTGACCCATGATGGCAGTTCTAATTTTCTGCAGAAATTACAATAGATTTTTTTTTTCCCAGGGAGAAAGATGTTATAGGAGATAGTGTTTTTCCGCATGCCATTGTGTACAACTTGATTCTCAAATATTCAATAAAGGCAGTATACTAAGGGCTAGACTTAGAGGCAAAACAACAGTTGCAAAAATGCAATCCCCATTGGTGGATTGGCTCAAAACAAAGTTTTGACACTAGGCCAGAAATTCAGTGAGCTCTAAAATGAGAAGAAAAAATTAAATTTAAAAATTCAGGGAATCCCAGCAGCAGATAAGACAACTGGGGAAACTGCGAGGAGACTCTATGCAATCAGATACAGTGATAAGGGATTCTTTGTTTCTGAGGGGATAGATGTAAAATGTTTCACTGAATTAAGTCTCAGGGATTATCTACACTGGCAAGTTAAAGCACTCTAACTTGCTGGCTCAGGAGTGTGAAAAATCACCCCCCCTCCCCAAGCGCAGCAAGTTTGAACACTTTAAAACGCTAGTGTGGACAGGCGCGGCTCCCAGTGCTCAGAGCTAATCCCTTTGTTGAGGTGGATTACCAGGAGCACGAGCACCCTCAGTAGTGCTTTGAACTTTGTAGTGTAGACATAACCTCAGTTAGATAAGACAAAGAGGAGCTGCATTGACTAGGCATTGGGATGCCTGTGCCTTTAAGAACCCAGCCCTGGGAAGCCGATGCTTAGAGATGCTGTCTGTGAGAGGGGAAGTAAAAAAAAAGCCCCTTTGCCCCCCACCATTTTTGCAAACACTGGTGTCTCCGTCCCACTGGGGTACCTGTTACTTCCTGTGCCAGGTTTTGCCTTCTGTCAGCACCTCACACCGAGCTTAACTCCTGCTCCTCCCGCCAGCCCTGATTTTGCCTTTTAGCCCCTCTCCTAATGCTGCCTCCAGCTGCTTGACCCCCCGACCAGTAAATTTCCACCCCCTGCTCCAATTCACCCCCTTCGCCACTTTTTAAGCCCCATCAAAAGCAGTCTGCAGAATCTTTGGCTAATAAGGGCAGGGTGAAGGGCAGTGGCTTCAGTGCACAGTAAGTAGCACATTACTACGGAGAGCACTTTACTACACTACACCGCGGACGCAGTGCTCCTCCTGTGGAGCCTGCCGGACTAATGGGAGAGGGAAGGGAGGAGCAGGGGAAGCAGAACCCAGCTGAAGCTCGCAGGGAAAGAACGGACAGTACGGTGGCGAACTGTAAATTTTGGTACCAGGGTTTTGCCCTCCTCCTGGCAGTGCCCCACTTTCAAACTTGAACAGGGTACAAGTGAGCCTTGAAGTTTAGTGCGTGGGAGGGAGGGACATAGCGCCAAGAGCTTATGAGACAGACCTGTCCACTAAAAATAAGTAATAGAGAAGATGGCCAATGGGAGGCCAGGGCCATGCGAGGCTTTGGGACATAATTTTTTTACACTGCAGTAAAAATTTCAGTGGTAAAAGGAATAGACTTTTTAAGGTTAAATATTATTGACAATGGCAACCTTTTGCTCTAGGCTTACCCACTCTTCAGTTAGTCTAAAATGCTGCCAAAAACACGCATACTTTGCCTTGCCTGCTACTGCCTCCAAATCTACAACAAAGTTAAACTCCTTGTCTGGGCTTTAAGGCCCTGCAGAGCTTTGCTCCCACCTCTCTCTCTCATATCTTTCTTCCACCACTTTTGCTCTACCCAAGACCTGAGACTACCCAAATTCTTAGTTTTATTCCCGTCTTCAGGCCTCTTTTGATGTAACCTTAAGCAACCCATTCCATCATATTTCTATCCCTTTCCTCCAAATACCTTTTGAAAACGCACTTCCCCCAAAAAGGCCAGGCTGAAAATCCTCAGGTTATAATCGGATTACAGGGATACTAACAAAATGTCGTCAAAACAATAAAAAGCAGCACAAGTGAATGTTGATCTCCACCCTCTATATACTGGCTTTGATTAGTGATATTTAGACCTCAGAGGTTCAGGAGCCAAATTAGCAATTAACATTACCCATAAGAGCCACAGTAGTGTGAATTCATTGTTTCATTTACTATACATTCATATTTAAATAGTAAGATGGGGAAAATATGTAGAGTGAATATATATATACACACACAGCAAAATGATGGACCAAGTATTATTTTATCAAATACAATTGGTTACCGTAGTAAAAGTATCCTGATTGTTTAATAATTAAATTACACAACGTTTTACTATCAGTGCTGCAGACAGCTGCACAAGACACACTGAAGGCTACTTGGGGCTCGGGAGCCTCAGTGCTTTAGATCGTGGCTTTCTGGTGGAGGGACTTTTGCTTTGCAGATAGATGTGAAGACACCAGGCTAACACTGTTTGTTGTTATTCAATCAGGAGCTTAAATAAGGAGAACTTTTAGAGAAGTATTTTCAAAAAAGTATTTATTGAATTTTCCACATTTAACTTGTTATTTTAGCTAATTAAAAATACAAGACTCACGTAGTTTCCAACAAGTGCTAGGTGACGTGTTCAGAAATACAAGCGTCCTCACATTACTCCATGACAATGACAGCTTATAAAGTTAAGAAAATAGGGAAAAACATTGGTTCATTTGAAAAGGAAGGAGCTTAGTACAGTCATCAGATGTAGTTGAAAAACCTCAAACCAGTTGAAATTAAAGGGGCAGAAGAGAAATAGTACAGGTACTTCTGTGAGGAGCGGTGGTGGTCATTTAAGACTTGTGCTCCAGATGAAGGTGTTGCCTTTGTAACTAATTCAGAATCTAGAAAGTTAGGATTAAATACTGGGGACTCAGTACTTCAGGCAACATTACAGCATCTGAGCAATGCATAAACTTTCAAATGTCAGACATTTTCCACATATGGTTTTGGAGAGGTGAACGTTATTTAAAGATTATATTGCAGTAGTGCCCAGATGCCCCAATGAGTACCCTCATTTTACTAATCATTGTACAGACACATGGTCCCTGCCGTGAAAAGCATAAAGGCTCAGATGTACCAGATGTTCCATCCTTTAACAAAATGGATCTCAAATGTGAAATGACTCCACACTTCAAAACATATCTAATGTTCAGACCAGTTTAACCCCACTTCTTGGGCTTCTTCATTCAAAAAGGTGCTTTAGAATACAGTAGAAGCTCCTCAGTCATTCCCTTCCCCAGTGAGCCGCAGAACAGCATTGACTGAAACATCAAAATTTCTTCTATGAATGTTTACTCTGGATATTTACTCAAAATTTTATAGAAAATAAAGGCCAACCACACAGTATGTAATGGTAAGGCTGTCTAACAAGACAACATTAATGCTGTCTTAATGCACACCAATAGTTTCAGTACTGAATAATCAGGATGCCTCATAATACTGATGCACAAAAACCCATCAGTACCCTAACTGAATTGTGAAATTTTGAAGAAGACAGTTGTATTTCAATGAAGTGGAACTATTCCCATTTTGGTCATAATGCTGTCTCTCAACAATGAGAGAAAAGAAAGCAACTTGAAAGAGTATACTACAAAATACTGCACTCTTATTTTCTACATGCGATTTCTAGAGCTGTGCTAATTGATTTTTCAGCTCACTGGTAGTCCTGAAAAAAACACATTCTGTGTAGAACAAAATGTTTCATGCAACTCAACCCAAATTTTTTTGTTTTGATTCAGTTTAGGTTGTTCTTTTTTTCAAATAAACCTGAAGGAAATTTCAGAACAGTTTTTAGTAAAACAAAACAAAAAACAAAACACACTGACTTCCACAATTTTTTATTTTATTTTTGTGTTTCCTGGCCAAAGCACTTTGGTAAATTCAACTCAAATTTGTAAAATGTTTGGGTTGACCGAAAATTTTGCTCAGCTCGAGCAAATGTATTGCTGTGTTTGCTTATGTTGTACTGAGGATTCATATCAATGGAAACCTTTTAGCACAATCTAGAATTCTTAAGTTTTACAAAGGGGCAAAATTCCTATCTTGTTATTCATGCTGACAGAAATTAATCCTTAAATTTGAGTGCTCCTCTGAGGAAAATGGGTTCAGTATCTTTTAAAAAGTGCGGTATAACAGATGGAAGCATAGTTCTTCAGAAAGCTCCTAGGATCTGCTCATAGAACTAAAAACCTCCAGAAAATGACCTGCATCCACATGGATAATTCAGTACTAGAGTTCTAATGGGAACTTTATAAAACATCAGTAAAAACATACTAGCTGCCAACTACTTATTGGCCACCTCTATAAAGGAGATTAAGAGGTCATATACTTTTAATCTTCAAAGCATTTTACAAACAATAATTTGTGTTCCTGACAGACTACAGTTAAGCCATTTTCTAACAGCAGAATATACACGCTGAAGCTCCATCCACAAAGAATGTGGAGATGTTAATCTGAAATTGAAGAAAAGTTATATCCTTGAGCATGGATCTGCTGTTGTGACTCCATAAAGCTTAAATTGACCCGGTTTAAATCACTTTCCCACCTCCTTTTTGCTTCCTAGAAATCCTATTTAAATCTCTTACGCTATTTCTCACTAGAGAATTTTCCAGCGAATTGGAGATTAACTGGCCAAAACTTGGCAAATGAGAGCTTTTATACTTTGTGGAGATAGATTTTTGGATAATCATCTCAAAAATGCTCTATTAACTCCAAATCGGTCTTACTCACCTAATCTTAATGAAAACTAAACCTTTACAAAATTTAAAAAGTCTGAAGCAAAAAATTTCAAACTTTGTCAATGCATCACTAATCCTTATAAAGTCTGTGATGCTCAGTTAGCACAAATAGCTTTGCTGACATTTGTTCAACCGCAGTAAGCAACAGTGTTTTACTAATTTACTGTCTAGAATGTAGTCTGCAATACATAATTCCACAGAAAATACCGTCTCTTTCCCTTGATCACTGAAAACAAAAGCAAGTCACAGACCAGAAAATATATCAAGAAGGGGTTTAAGGCTGTGAATACAAATTACAAAAATTTTAAAGTAACACTATAGTTATGTGTTTGGAGGCCAGTAAATTCCAAATTTAAAAAGGAACATTTTAAAAACCCAGGTGCTTCATGATCAGGGTTTCAAATTGACTAACTTTGGCTGTGTCTCAGTGCTAACCCTTAGTCTAGCCAACATCTTTACACCTAGCCACCATGCAATATTACTACTGTACTTCTAATGGAATATCAGCTACAAACCCTTGCTTACCATACAGGGTAAATTTTTCAGAAGGGCTCAGATGACATAGGAGCCAAAATCCCATTGATTTTCAACAACACAAACTTCTAAATTCTTAAGTCACTTTTGAAAATTTTACCTATTGTAAACACAAGTCTACAAACATCTTATATCCATCACCATGGGCTATCAGCCCAAATAAGATCACCTCCACTTCAAACATATTGATAGCAGCAAAATAAAGTTGCTAACATTTTGCTGCCACATACTTTATATTCCAGAAACACACTGAGCAAGTCAGCCCAAGTTATATAATTACGGCAATGCCTCTTTATTTGCCTCGACAGAACTCAGAATCCGCACCTGTAGAAAACTATTCCTGCATCTCCTGCTGAAAGGAAAATTCACATTACAAGACAACACAAATCCAAGTCTCCTGTCAGTAAATCATGGGACAGTGTACAGCAAGTAGGTGGGAATACTGGTTGAAAATGAAAGTTGAAGTCTTAGCTGTAAATCTTTCCTGTTTTTAAATAGAGATTATGACTTTCCAATAAAGTTTGTCATTATTATATTTTAATTCCATCACAGAGATGTCATTAAGAATATATAAAAGTTTTAGACCATCAGAATTGTTTGACATCTGCCTGCTGTTATTGATGCTGCTGTTTCAGCAAGTATTGGCATTTTGTTGATCCTTCAGACTGATCCAGCTGCTGGGAAATGAGTTGAGACTAGTATTTACAGCCTACCACTGAAATGCATGATAAAGTTTGTTGTTTTTTTTATTTGAACTACTGATCGGCAAAGTCTTTGGATTTTAAAAGAAATCTGGCAATTGAAATTAAACAGAAGTTCTTATTTTGAAGCTGCCTTTGTGTTTCAGTGGTGAGCTGCATTTTCTCTCATCAAACAATCATAATGGTAGCTTTAGAGCATTTACTATGTGAAGTGATTTTTTTTAAATAGTCAGCTGTTTGTAGATGTAGCCTTTGGAATCTCATTGCAATACAGCAGGATTTGGTTTTGAGTATAATACCCCATGTACAATGTTTGAGAAAGTCCCAGAATTCATTTAAAATAGCTTTTTAAAAACATGCACTTGAATACTTCATCATTAAAAGTGAGGGATTGGGTGGGAGGAAAGATTCTTCACAGCAATTGCCAACTTGGTTCCCAAGCCATGTTGCTTTAGAAGGCAGTAGAATTATGAAAATGAACATTTCTATTTATACACAAGCTTATAGAGAAATAGCAAGTGACTATGGATCAGTGTGTGCATACATTTTACAGTAAGTATTAATGCAACATTAAGATTGAGAATCAAGTACTCATTCGTCAGGTAATACAGAGCTGAAGTTGAAAATTCAACCTTGCTGGGTACCTCATGCAGCTATAATTGAAGTCTAAAATGTAGGCTTCAGAGAAGTGTGTTTATTATCCTTCACCAGTGCCTGGTGCATGAAGTTTAACAAGCAGCAGATTTAAAAAAAAAAAAAAAAATCTGTATCTAGTCTTTGCTTCCCGGTTTTTGCTGGGATTCTCATAGAAGTCCCAGAATACTAAATCCTCAGTGTGTTGGGGCGAGGGAGGTCTGAGTCTTAACAAAAAGTTTCTCCTGCAATTTGTTAGGCATTTGAGTTTAATTGAGGAGAAAATTTTATTTGGGTTGCATAGAACTCGTTTTTCAACACCTAATCACATTTTACTTCCTTTGCATCTCTGCTATCATAAACCAATTAATGCTCCAGTGTAGAGGATCGGTCAGAAAAACAGCATAGACAAAACTTGACTTTTTACACACATGAAAAAGCAGGCAGAAAAAAATACCTCTCAGACTTCCTTTAATCACACAATAAAGTAGAAGAAAGGTACAAACCTTCCCACCCTTTGGAAGTCACCTTTAAAATTACTGAACATTTGGTCAAGTACAAAATACAGTATGAACTAGGTTTTCTACACAACATATGTACTGTTTGAACTGCTGTTTAAGATTCTTGGCATGCAGCTTTTGTAGAGGTAAGAGGAAAGGAGAAGCAAGCATGGGGTTAAAGGAAGCAACGAGGAAGATGGAGAAAGAATGTCTATAGCCAGTAGAAATTCTACCAACCTTTTTCTATTTGAAACATCTTTAGCTATTGTGTTCTCCACTACATACAACAAATGACATCTTTCAATAATCTGAGAGACTGATTTAACTGTATCATACTATATCAATGCAAGTCAACTGTCAGACCCTACTTCTAGAAGAACTGCTTTTGGTAGAAGTCATCTTTATCTGAAGAAAAAAATCTGAAATGAGATGGTGATCCCTTCTTATTCTCCAGGCTTTTTCGAGATCTAAATCTATTCAGCTTTAAGGCCCGAAAAATGAAATCAAAGATTCCCAATTTGCATGCATGCATACACCTTGCACTTGGCCAGTATTGGAATTTTATTTTCCAGGCTGGGGAAGGTTTCAGCCAATAAGCTGGAGTTGATATAACTTGAAAAATAGAACGAGGAATAGAAGTGATAGCACCTAGCACTTATGTAGCTGTTTTCATTTGTAGATCTCAAAATGCTTTAGAAAAAAAAAGGTGAGTATCATTATATCCATTTTACAAGTGAGGAAATGGAGGTATAAGATGATGAAGTAACTTGCTCAAGGTTGTCCATCAGGCCCTAGCTCCAGAAGAAAGTATCTTCATTTAGGTTCTTTGCTTTCAGACCAAAATAGAAGCCTTACAAAAATGCATATAGGGCAACTTCAAAATAAGGTCGCCTATTTAGGCAGACGACATAGCATATTAATCTGCACAAACTGTTGGAGACAGATGCTGACCTAAGCAAAATATGTATGCCTTGAGACAGATTTCCCTGAATCATGCATGTTAAACAGATCTCTGTTAAGTTCAGATGCACACTACTGGCCTGACCTGGCATCAGAATTAGCTAGTACTGCACCTATGCATAGTTGATTAGAGACGGCGAGGAGTCTGCAAGGATCCAAAGGTTAGTAAGTCCCAGTTGTATGATTAGCCTATGAGTGTTATACCTCACTGATGAGTAACCATCTAGTTGAAATCTGTCTTACTTTTGTAAGTATACCGGATTTATTTTGATTGTGTGTAAGACCTGTGATACTACTACTATTTCCAAGAATATACTGTTTAGAAGTGTGGAATAATATCAGATGGGGATTTTTGATTTTATTATTAGGACAAAAGTAGTGAGCACTGCAGTAAAAACAGAAATGAAAATATTTAATGCTTGTTTCAATGTCACTTAAATGTTTAACTTCTGAATGGATTTATTTGCATACACCAATAGGCAAAATAGGCATGATTACCAAATAGAAGATTTTAAAAGTTCTACATGTTTTCATTACATGATTCGCCCAGAACATAGTATAATTTAGCTATGCTAATAGAACCTACAAAAGTCAATTTATGTGCCCAAGAACACCAAGTGAAAACGTGTGGACACATCTTGAATAACCACAGCAAAAAACCAGACTCATTACATTCTTTAAAGTGAATTTAGTGCTTGTGAGAAGTGCCAGATAACACTGGAGATGGAAGATCTCCGTCTACAAAGTAAAGGCAGTGCAAGATTTTCCACACCTCCTCTCCAGGGTACTTCAATCTTGGCCTGAATGGATAACTTTTATGGTTGAAAGGACAGTTCAGCTCCATGCCCAGGCAATTCTTTGTGTGTCTGCTGAGACTGAACAGAGGTTCAGTTAGTGCCAACTGACACTCATCCAAGAGTAACAAGACAGAGCTCATTTCACATTGATCACTGACTAGACAGCTTTTATCTACTAAACACCTGAGCAGAATTTAAACTAGTGACCTAATGGTGAAAAGCTCATTATGCTATTAGTCATTTGAACTATTTAGTCCCCAGTATGGCTTAACTAGGCTAAAAGGTGGTAGCCAATAAGCTGAAATTCACAGAGCTACAAATCTGTACGTTGAAGAAAAACAAAGACAAACCAAAGCTCAAACTCATTCTGGGAGTGTAAATGAGTTCTACTTGTATTAGATACATAATCATTTTTGTTCATCTTCACATTTATGAGACACAACTGCACTATGTGAACACTAGCATATAAAAATCATTAGGTTTCTAAATCACTCAGGAAATGTATTAACTATTTACAGCAAAAAACATTCATCATGCACTTTACAAAATAACGACAGCACTCATTTATGGCCTTGTCTATCTGCAAAAGAATTCATTTTGCAGGTAAACATAATAAAATATTGCTCAAAACGTCATAAAAATATATTATCTCTTTCCTTTAACATTTAGGTATATAAATATTTTACTGAAGAACATGCATCATTTAGATAATTGCAAGAACGCCTCCTATAAACATACGGTTCTTTGACATTTAGCAGTATAAAATGATTACATGGTAAAGTAGCTATTGAAGTCAAGAATTAAACCCGAGATTTGCAAACCAATACTGTAGAGAACAGTCCTTTGTGTACAAGTCCAGAGATATATCAAGGCACCTTTTATAACAGGTTACATAATAAAGGCTAATGAATGCATTGTAACTGCAGAAAAGAGCATCATTCCACCTGCACAGTCTTCAGTCTTGTCTGGATACCAAACTTACTGTTCACTTTTCTGTTCTTGTTTCCCATCAAGCTCTTGGTCAATTCTGTTTAATAAAAAATGTTAGAATATAAATTACAACTTCAGTAGTGTGTTACTTTCTATAACAGGCAACAAAGCTGATCTTAATAGGAGAATTGAAGTTTTTATATAGAAAAGGTTTTTAGTAAGTATCATTCAACTGTTAAAAACAAACATCAGTGAAGTGGGTTCAGTTACAGCAAAATGTTAAAGATCCACCTTGTTATTGCCCCCTAAAATTATAGATTTTAAAGATGGTTAAGAAGTGTTTTCAAGCAACAACTGATATGGTATTTGGAAGAAAAGTATTAGGAAAATGAAATATCCAATTTGGCCATGTTGCAAGAGAAGCAGGTTAGTCTTCCATTTATTAATAAAGTGTGACTAGGATGTAAGCCTATAAGACATACAATAAAATGAAAGATGGTTTTAAGAACAGAACGCAGTTTATATTCTAGAACTTGAGCCTATCAAACCTGTAAGCAATGGGTTTGGTGGTGTTTTTAGAACAGTTATATTAAATATTAAGCTGAAAGAACAGTGTGGTTGTGCCAACACTGTTTACTACATAGATTTTTAAAGTTTCACAGAATTGTTTTCTAAACAGTTATTACAAATAACGTGCATTGTATTGATCTGTGCTATTTTGAAATAAGTTGTATGCAATTAGTTCCTATATATAGTTAGATTTATTACAAATATGGAATGCATTCTTTTTATCTAGTCTGTGTATGCAGGATAGCAGATAGCAACTTTAGAGTCACTCGGGTAAAATATGTGCTATTCAGCTAGAATGCAGTGTGGTCTAGCGCACTGAACATGGTACTGTGCAGACCTTAATTCTAGTCCTGGCCCCGAGCACTGACTCTTTGGGGAAGTAATTTAATATCCATTCCTCTTAGCTTTCCCTGTGCAAGATGAGGATAATGATTGGCTACGGGGGTTTTTTGTTTGTTGTTTTTCAGGGGAGGAAGCCTCCAGGCCTATATACATCCTCTTGCTTAATCAACTGGTGAGTGAAGGAATCTACATCAACAATTTCTGAAAAATTTAAGATTGCTTTTTAGTGAAGTTTCTGGCTCTTATGGCTGCTAGGAGAACCTCTGAAGTGTGAACTGACATGTTCTGTCCTGCTGAGTGTGCAGCCAGCTTCAGTCTACTGTTTCTCATGACAGTTCCAAAAAGTGGAATGAGGTTAACAAGACTCAGGCAAGTTTCTGCCTACAGGATTCTGAACAGCAGTTGTGAAACAGACAAGAACACTGCCAGTTTCACTATGTTGCAACTAGGGAAAAATATGAACAGTGAAAGTACTTACAGGAAAATGACTAAAAAAGGCTTGGGAAAGAGTAGAGTAGCAAAAACACCCTTCTTACTCTCCATCAGCCAAGAGGCTCTGAAGTTGAGGATGAGAAAAAGCTCCTTCCAAGCAGCTAGAAAGGGACAACAGTATTTAAATCCATCAGCCAGAGACCCACAAAAGAGAACAAGGTGCCATCCTTGCTTATGAATCCCAGTGCCCTCTCTGTTCCCAACAACTGGGGCAGAGTTATTGGCTTCTCACCAGGCCATTGTCCACTGACATGTCTGGTGTGTGGGGGCGTTCATCTTTCATGCTGCCTAAGCCTAGTTCACTTAGTTCTCTGGCTAGTAAATACCTAATAAGTTTTTCATGCCCAGACTGAGCTTTCCTTTGAGCTTTATGAAATAAAAGTGCTATGTAAGCACTAAAAGCTTCAATTTCAATTATTACAGGCAGAATTAAGTCACATACTATGATCAAATATTTTTCCCTTCCAATTTAGTTTTTGGATATATCTGGTTTGTGTTAGTATTTATGAGTACATTTTACCAACATTCCTGGCTCATTTTAGAAGAACCTATCAATGGATTTAGAATTCTAGATCCAAATACTGCAAACACTTACATGCTTAACTTTACATAATCAGCAGTCAATTCTTCAGTGAGACCACTTCTGTACATAAAATTATTTTTTTGCAGGACTGCAATCCAATCTGTAGTACCCCTGGCGCGTAGCCAATTCTGGGTCTCAAACTGTCAACCAGGCAACATTTATCAGGATGTTAACAAATGACAAACAGGGCATCGGTTAAAGCCAACTCTGCGTTTCAAATACTCAAATCAATGTGTGTGTGCAGAAAGATGGTCACCTAACGCTTCTGAGAGATTTGTGTTTTTCATCTCTGCACACTACTAGCTACATAGTACCAAATACATTGTTGCAATGGAAGTTTCCAAAAAAATCACCTCTCCAAAGTTTATTTACATGTACTAAACTGCATTCTAAAATCAATGCAATAAGGGTAGAGGTTCCATAAATAAACCAACATAAAGGAAATGTTGAACATAATGCATTGCCTAAAACACCCAGTGACTTCATTTAAGACTGTGATTGTACTTTTGTCACAGAATAACTCTTCTGGCTTAATCTAATGGCTCAACTGCTTCAAATTTTACTTAAAGCGATTACTTTTTCAGAAGAGCTTTTATTGTACATGCTTACTACATTTATAGCATAATCTGATGGGGGGGAGGGGAGAGTCCTCTCTTCCCGAGCCATTTGCTCTTTCACTTTTGCAACAAATAAATGGTTTAACTGACTAAGACTGTTCTCTGATGTTGATATAGTCTTTGGTGAATGCAGTAAAAAAGGATCCACAGCTCCAATGCTATGGTAGTAATACTCGCAATAGCCGAGAGCCATATTTTCATGTATTTAATATTTTATTGTTTGGGATGAATATTCTGCACCAAAAGTGATGGGGGAGGGACAAGGGGGGGACGACGGAGACTTTCATTTGGCTGTTTCGGACAGTAAATAAAACACTGAAATCTGAAGAAACAGGGTTTAGAAACTGCACGGCAGTACCTGAAAGTGTTGCTCTTTACTTGCACAGTATGTTACTCTGCAACACTTCTCAATCCAGTAGCAGAGTAGATCATCTATTTATGTGATCTCTGACTGTTTCTTTTAAAAGCGAGTTAAATAATTTCCAAAGGAAATGATGTACATCAAGTGTAACAGGATACTGGCAACTTTAAACCAAAAGCATCCACAATGATGTCAGAAGAATTTTTCATTACTGTTATTACAGTTAACTCCCATGATTATAACAACAGACTATGGGGGAAAAGTACTTGTGTTGTCAAATACACAAAGTAAACACTATCTAGTTAGTTCCATTTTTACTCCGCTATAATCAGATTTTCACACAGCAACGTAAAACAAACATTTGAGAAAAAGTGATTGTAGGGGGATTACTGAGGGGAGGGACTCAGTGTATGTTGAACCTGAGACTTGAAATTTAAAGTTGATATCCCTTTTAAGAGCTCAATTCTATACCCACTGCAGTCCATGGCAAACCTTCCCATGGAGCAGGATTGGGTCTATAGACAGTCAAAATACCAGGCATTAACAAGGTGAAGCAAGTTAAAGTTGCTGTGAGAACTAACTGAATTTTCTGTAGTTGGTACCTTTACTATCTCAGCTATAATACTGCAGAATTAACGCTTACAGTTTTTCATACAGACTGACAGTTTTATGCTTTTCCACTAGCTTTTTACTTTCTTGTTTTTTTATGAAAGCTAGTAAAATCCATAGGGAAAAGTTATTTCTGATAGGTTTAATTCTTAATACCTTTTCTCTTTTCAATCTTCCTACTTACAATGACATGTTTACAGAAAGTGACTTGTCCCTAAAGAGTTTATTGTTTTGCACATAGCAGCAGGAGTGCTCAGAATAAAAGTTTAAAGTTAGAAGCAGAGCGTTTTAGTGAGGTTATTGGTAGACACTGAATGGCAATTACTCATTTGTTTTAAGTATTTTATCAGATGCGAGAATTGCTTGAATTGTTAGCAGGCCACTTAAGTTACAGCATACAGAAAATCCAATCTTAATTAGCAAGGAATCTAGGCACTGCAAATACAAACAGCACTGAGCAAAATATAAACTAATTTAGGGCCTGTGCAAGTTAGATATCTTGAAAATAATTAAAATTAGTGAATACTGAATAAAGAAAGATAGAAATTCTAATCCTGAAATTTGTAAGAAGCTGTTTTCCAAGTAACTTCTACAATTGTACCAGTTTGGCATCTAGAAATTAAGCATTCAAACAGTTAATTGTTATTCTTAACAACAAACTTAGTTTGTTCAAGCAGGTTCAAAAATGCACATGACTTTTTGCCTTTTTGAAGATGCAGCTCAAAGTCAACACATCCCCTTAATAAAAGCATCTCCGAAGTGATAAAATATTGACAGATTACAAACCCATCCATGGTTTACACTGCTACATGGAGCGCTCTTACAAGTTATATTTACTGTAACTATTTCAAAACAAGCTTAGTCATTAGTGCATGTTTATATTTACAAATGCTTATTCATGTCTGCAAGCCAACCAATTGGGAAAGAGTTAGTTTGTGCAGTGCAAATGGTCTTGTCTAGATGCATCCCTAAGTAAGGTGTGCATATATATACATATATACCTTTTGTGTTTCTTTCTAAACTTTTCTTCTTCATACCTTAGTGGGGAAAAGTTTGATTTCAGTAAGTACAAGATATGAAGGCCAACCAAACTCAAAACAACAAGTGTTAAATGTTCCTCATAGAAACAGAATATCAAGTCTTGAAACTAGCATAGTTATTTAGAGCATAAAATCATGAATATATACAGCTTGAAATAAAATGACAAACTAGCAGAGATTTATATGTTGCTGTGTGGTAACAGTAGTAATGTACACTATTTAGTCCATTCTGATTGCAATATCTACCTCAAAATCCAGAGACCTTATGACCTAATTTTGAAGTACAGCTCAAAGGGTCATATTCTCCAAAATAGAAGTATCGCAAAATGTTCTAGTTGCCCTGTGGACCAGCAAGCTTGGTCTCTGCAGAAGATCAGTGCTTGATCATTATTGCAGCTGGTTGCATCAAGGCTGTCTTGTAAACCTTAGGCGGACATAAGTCTTTTCATTTCGTAAACAATCTCTACTTACAGAAGCATCCTCCTTCAAATCCTGTGCTTTTGAAGAGAATTTGTTCCAGGCAGAGTGTCAGATTTACAAGTTTATGTTAATTTCGTTTCTGCCTTTTCCACAGAAAGCCACATTCTGCACGTGTTACAAAATGTTTAGTTTTGCAATTTGTACCAGCTAGACATTTATTGCTGGCTATGTCTACGCTACCGCGGTAAGTCGACCTAAGTTACGCTACTCAAGCTACATGAGTCGACGTAGCTTAGGTCAACTTACTGTGGCTTCTACACCGCACTGGGTCGACAGGAGACCTTATTCTTCTTGTTCAGGGTGGAGTACTGGGGTCGACCAGAGAGATCTGCGATTGATCTGGTGGGTCTTCACTAGACCTGCTAAAAATCAACCCCCAGTGCATTGATCACCAGAGCGTGCATCTGGCTGTAGTGTAGACATCGCCCCTGTGTCAGCCTTTCAACAGCAAACACATGCCTTGTGACCATGAGGTGTGATTATTCTAATGCCTTCCTTATGTGGCTTTCAGTTCAAAGTAATAAGCAACATTGCCATTACATTTTGAGTGAGCTAAAAGAAAAGGCGCACCCTTACTACCCTAGATCTTTAGGCCAATTGTCTATGAAGTAAAAGTTCAACTTCACATTGTCACTATAGGTTCTTAGGATCCTTAACTGTTGCTCTGGATGCATCAGCTCTACTTTGTGAGCATTGTACTATTGAGTAACCACACAGAGCCTGGTGCTAAAAAAATTCCACCCTCATACCTGAAGCTGGAAGGCAGATGTGTTTTTTCTGTCGTGGGCCAATTGGTTTGGAATGCACCCCTTTGACAGCTCTTATTTCATTGATACCCACTTCAAAAAAGGCCTTAAAAGCTTCCCCTCCCTCCAAGGATTTTTAGAATCACTATTGTTAGGCTTATGTTTATAGTCTTTTCCATCTCCTATCTCATTGTCAAATGGATTCCTTATTTGTTTTTTATATACTTGATTGCTTAGCCCCGGGGTCTCAAACTCAAATGACCACAAGGGCCACGTGAGGACTAGTGCATTGGCCCAAAGGCTGAATCACTAAAACCCCCCCCTCGCTGCCCCAGCCCTGCCCCCACTCCACCCCTTTCATGAGGCCCCGCCCATGCCCCGCCTCTTCCCACCCCCCCTTTCAAGCCCCTCCCCGAAGTCCCCACCCCAACTCCGCCCCCTCCCTGCCCCCAGGGGGTGCAGGAGGGGTGCGGCGGGGGCTCAGGGCAGGGAATTGGGGTGCGGCGGGGGCTCAGAACACAGGGTTGGGGTGCGGGCTCCAGCCCAGCACTGCTTACCTAGGCACCGCTCCCCCCCTGCCTGCCCTGGCCCCGCGCCGCTCTGGGAAGCGGCCGGAACCACATCCCTGCGGCCCCCGGGGGGGGACGGGGGGGGATGACAGGGTTCCACGCACTGCACTTGCCGCTCCCCCAGGTACCTCCCCCAAAGCTCCCATTGGCCAGTTCCCCATTCCCGGACAATGGGAGCTGCGGGGGGCGGTGCCTGGAAGCAAGGGCAATGCACAGAGCCCTCTGCCTGCCCCGCCCCAGGGCCGCAGTGCCAGCCACTTCAGGGAGCAGCGCGGGGCTCACAGCGCCACGGGGCCAATCCCGCAAGTCAGATCTGGCCCGCGGGCTGTAGTTTGCCCACCCCTGGCCTGGAGGTAGGCAGAGGAGAGGGGGCTGCGCCAGGAGCTTGGCAGGCCACACGAAAGAATCCCGCGGTCCACTTGTTTGAGACCCCTGGCTTAGCCTGTTTTGCTTGTATTCTGCTGTACAACACCTCAAATGCTTTGGCTCAGTACGACATAAAAGGGGCTTATAATATAAGCACTTGCAAGACCAGCATTTCTCACTAGCAAGTCAAATACCGAAGGAAAAGAAGAGTTTCATAGAGGTCTTTTGTGCATTATGATCTTATGATTCCACAAGACTAGTTCGTACTCAGTATAATGTAGGAATTATATAAACCATAGAGCTAAGTATTATTTCATTGCCATGCTCTGGGTACCATTATGTTGCTGCATGCAAAGTAGAAATTTAACACCATCACAACTCAGAGAGAGAGAGAGAGAGAGAGAGAGAGAGAGAGAGAGAGAGACTTTGCCTCGACAGCAAGGGTACCACTCTTCTAGATTACTGCTGATTTATAGACATGTTGAAAATCCACATATAAGTTTTCACATTTGTGCTCTACACCAAGCACACCTTTGCATGTTTGAATAATAAAACGTACTGTTTTATGCATTCTGGTATGCCAACGTATTCCATGGGGATGAGTTCAGCTAGCTCTGCCAGGGTAAAGACATATCTAATTTTTTGGCTGAATTTTGAGCTGTGGAAGAACAAATGTAAAGAACAATTACTAAAATGTTGAGTACATCTTTAAATATTAAGAATTACTTTCTGAAATTTAAGTACGAATACATTTGTACTTTCTTTAAATGAAGTAATTTCCAGAATATTACCTAATAAAAGGTTTTGTGATGGCCAGAAGTGTTCTGATAAACCAAGAAGGATGAACTATTATTAACGATTTCAGGTTTTTCCTTAACCTAAAGAATTCAAGTATTGAACACCAGTGTTAAGGAACAAAATGAGTCAAAAAAGCAATGCATTTTTAATATAAAAAAATACAAGTGTCCAGTTATTGCATAATTGCCACTTCTTTGTGTCATATGTAATCTAATGAGTAAACTCCTCGTGAACAGAGACTCCACTGTCATATTCTTGTCTACCAAAGTTGAATAGAAGTTGAATAAAAACTAGCAAAACCAGGTTATGTTGAAATTTGTCATGAATAGACAGTTGGAGTATCAGATTGTGATGAGAAAGAACTAAGAAAAAGTTAGCCAATGAAGAGTTTTTTGACCAAATGTTAGTGGCATGTGTCAAGGACCAATATCGCTAACTCATGTTTCCACACACGAGAGAAGAGAGCAAAGTTCACTTGGGAAATGGGTATCTGTATAATGAATGAGATAAAGGGCAATAAGGAAAAGAAAGTGGAAAAGGGCTGCTTTAATGATTATATGCGAGACCAACACCAATATGTTTTGCGGGAGGAAATGGACTGCTAACAGTAGCTTCCTCAGTATTTTGGCATCTGACACCCCATCTAACGTAGCAGAGTTGCATATCCACTTGTCAGATAAGTTAAAGTTAAGTAGACTTTCAAATCCAGATTTAGTGTATAAAACTCCCTCCTCCCCATTTGTGCAACTCCCACAGAATATATGTAATCTAACTGCAAGCTCAGCAAATGGGGTCTGCTTAGATTTTTTCTGTAAACACTCATGGGAAGAGTTCAGCTGGAAAGAAGCATTTTTTGTTGCCTCTTATTACAGCTGTGCAAGAGGTTACAAGTACCTTTTCATTCTAACTAGTCTTTCCTTTTACAGTTGACAGTGACCTGTTCAACTGTGTAACAACTTTCCCGCATGATTATTCAGGAAGCTCACTTTAAATAAGACCATACAGTACATGGTGAAACCTTTATTCAGTAGTATTTCACAATACAATTGTACGATTGAGGGAAAGATCATGTTGACAAGCATTTTCATTTGACATTAAATGAAATTCTCCAGCAGTATTTCTGCCCTGGGGCTTCAGTGCCTAAATCATACAAGTGTGAAACAGGACAATTGTTGCAGGGTTCAGCATTCTCCAAAGCCTAGCAAACTTAAATTCACAATATGCTAATTAACAGTTTTCACAAATTACAGATAATGAAAGAAAAGTGATATAGAGAGATTTCTAGATATTATTGTAATAGAATTTATCTTACCTTCTATCAATTTGCTGGTAACATTTCCTGAGCCAGCCTAAACTTGGCATTTTTCTCCGTGTTGTAGCACCATTTAAGTAAACTATCATATAGTTCTCTGCTACTAACAGTTCCAAAGTGCCAATAACATATCTGTAACAACAAGTAAGGAGAAAGCTTTCAAATGACAAACTGAGTGACAGTTATGTGCAAATGAAAGAATTTATATTTTGATAAAGGCTCAAAGGCTACAGAAAAAATTCACAATTTCCCAAATATAAAATTTCATGTAAAAAGCAGAAGAGGCTGGTAGCCCTTTTTGCATTGATGGAACTCTACTATGAGATCATTTACTGACCATTCTTAATGGCAAAAAGACTACTTACTTAAATAGATTATCCATTAGATATCTGTAGTTAGGCTGATTGCTTTCAGGCATAAAGCAAACAGCAAACACAACGATCGCATTTAACCCATCACCATAATAACCTAGAAGGGGGAAAAAAAATTAACAGCAATAAAGTAAAAAACAAAAGTAAAAAGTAATGGAGAAGTCTGACTACACTGATCAAATTCTACAGTAATAAACATTACACTTTTGTGCTTTTTAATCTATTTCAAAGTGCTTTACAGATGAAATAATGAAGGCACAAAAAGGCTAAAAAGACCGCATCAATTTTTTTAAAAGTTTGATCCCCCCCCCCACACTTACTGTTACTCAGATAGCTACAGTTTACTATAAATGAAAGATGCTCTCTAATTTCTATAGTATGTTTAGTTTATGTATTTTATAGCATTTTCCATGTAGTCAATTTCCCTTCTGAATGGATTTTTACATACACAGCAGGGGAAGACAGACATTAAACTGGACAGTGACTGTAAAACCATAAAAGCTGTTACGAGGTCTACAAATGCTGCAATAGCACCCAAACCTATATTTACTTTTTTAAAAACTGGTTAAATTGGCAATCCACATATTTAAATCCTGGTAACTAGTCTGTCACTACAGCAAGTGTTCAGTTTGGAAGAGTTAAACATACTCCACACGTTCTGATGTTCTTTTAATTTATTTTAACAGTCACCTCTCGTTTTTTGTCCCATTTCGGTTTTCACTAGTTAAAAAGATACAATACTATCTTCATCAAGACTAGGGTAGCTTTCTTTTAAGCCAATATCCCTAATATACCCATATGCCTTGCTACTGCAGCTCAGGACGTGGAAAATCTAGAGATTCCTCAATACCTATGCCTTACCACGACTTACTTCTGTCCCTCCCCCCGAACCCTACTCTGTTGGCGGTCGTAATTTATATGGGCTACCCCTCAGCCCATGTAATTAATCCTTACCTCCGTGGCTGATAACCTTTTTATAGGGTTCAATTGCCTTCATGTCCACCCTGTGATCCTGTTCTCCAATCCTGAACATACGCCAGCGTCGCCCATCATCTTTCTCCTCTGCAGCAGTGTATTCAGGAAGCGATCCTTTTCTAATTACTTCAGTAGTTTTTGGTTTTGGAAGATCATCTGTCAACATTAAAATACACCTATTATGCATGATGATCTTTAACGTGACAGTACCAATCAGATTGCAAGTTAACCACTTCACTCTGTTTGAATTATTATAACTTTCTATACCACCAGCCAGAAATACCTGACTTAGTTCCATCACTAGAAGATGGACATCTAACACAGTATCTGCCAATAAATATTGGGCTTAGCATTTACATGAAGAAACTGGTCCTCTTGGCTGTATTTTATATGTAGAAGGCCTTTTAGGGAAAGTACATATGCTTTTAAACATTCATTACCATAAATGTTGCCAAATTAGATACGAAGTGGTTAACTTCAATTATCATGTTTTGTTTGATCAGAGATTTACGTGATAAAGCATAATTTAATACATTAGTAATAGCTGGTAAGCAGACATGCAAATAAATCTCGTAGAAATTAAAGCTAACTAATACATATGTTCAAAATAATTGAAATTTATGCTAAAAAGAGAATCTTCAGAAAAGATTTTTCTAATAAAATCATGATTCTTTGAATTTTAGTTGCACAGACCTTACCAAAAGTGAGAAAAACCTACTGCATGTTAGTTGTCTGTTTCCAAGACAAAGCTGTTAATGGAAACTATCCTTCCAGGTAAATGAAGACAGCAGCATTAAAGGAAGAAAAGACAGAAACCCTTTTCAGCAACTTTTTGTAACAAATGAACTGGAATATTTCCTGAATCATGTTATAAAGTTATCCATAAACACCAAACCATATTCCCTAAGGCAGTAAAATATGGCCAGCCCACCACACACGTGCACCCATATATTCCCTACTCTCACTTCCAATGCATTTAACTTAATCTAAGATACTTAAAAAAAAATTAAGCTTTTTTTAAAATGGTTTCCTAGTTCACATTACTCTTTCCTTCCCTTCAAAGGATTTTTTCTCCTCTGTCCTGCTATATTAAATGCAGTAGCATTCCTATTTATGCAAGAATGAATTAATATCTTACAGTACAATAGAAGTATCTAATAGGAACAAGCTTTTAGCAATGTTAAAGAATTATGGATTTAAAATTTCACTTGACATTTTAATAGATACATTCTTAAAGCAAGAAGAGAACTTATCAGAATACTGAAATATAGGTAATTGTCAACTTCTGTATAAATTCTTAAGAGTCCCAATGCCAGACAGAAGGATTCTTGAAAGGTGCCCTTTAATGTAACCATATTTTGATAACATAAAATGCACTTAAATTTAGGTCCCAATCCTGCAGTCTGATTCTTACATGTGGATTTCTGCACCTGTGCGGAGCCCCATTGAATTAATGGAGATTTGGTACAGGCATAAGGTTCTCCTCTAGGAATCAGACTGTGGGATCAGGGACTTACTTCCCAATTTTAGAGTAACCATATCCAGTTAAATAGAGCTTTAGAAGTCCAACAGGAAATGAATTTTCTATTGTTATCTTAAAGATTTTAAATGCAAAGGCTCTATGCGTACCCGTTCCACGACCACTATTCTGAAACTGAAAAGCAAACTGTTAATTAAGTTCTGTAAAAGCTATTGACCATTTGTCTTGCTTATTAGTGAACCAAGTGATCATGTGTTACGTTAATCAATTTTGATATGTTTCCCAAATATTTTTAAATGGTAGTTTACATCTTTTCAGCAATTTTTTATACTCTTGCAAAAAGGGAAAAGTAACTGCTCCTTTTTTGTTTTATATGAACTAGTGATTGATTTTTATATTTATTTTTTAAAAACTATGGCCAACTGAAGACTCAAAGAAAGAAAGTGTAGTAGCAATTACCATCCCATAAAACTAATTTCTATCCTTTGAAAAATAATACCTATTAAAATTATATGGTCCATCTCCTAGCCAATTCAGAAGTGTGCCCTACAGTTCATTTTCTAGTGTTCTGTTCAGTCCAGTTTTGGAAATACAAAGTCTCCAGTGACAATTCTGTAACTTAATAGGACTTTCACATAGCTTCTTCTGACATTCAGCCTAAAAAAGTATTAGTTTTAATTTCATACAATCACGCTAAATAAACTTTGTCCCTTGTTTTCTGTTCTGGCCAATAGTCTTTATAAATCCATGCTGTCTATTTTTCATGATTGAGTTTTCCTCAAGGTGTCTAATGAGTCTTAATAGTTTGCTTTCCATCTCTAAACTTCTGATTCTTGGAACCTGCTAGCTCTCATCCTATACATCTGATTCTTTGAATCTTCTAGCTCTTACCCACATGGAATACTGTGTACCTGAGCATAACCATCAGAAAACATCTACTTAAATACCAAACAGAAGCAATGAACCCTTACCTTCCCATTCGAACTCATTACTGTTCTCAGATGGAGTATCTAAATCATCCAAATCGACCTCCCCACTCTCATCTAAGTCATCAGACAATACCGATTCCTCGCTGTGATCCAGTGTTAAACTAATATCTGGAGCCATTAGTTTCTTCCTAACTTTGTTTCCATTCACTTCTAACGGGTTTGGGAGTAAAAGAAAAGGCAGGTTACTTAATTTGTAGAATACAATGTATGTAGAAATGTTTATAACAAATCAGAAAAAAAAACAAAAAACACACAGTCCAGTGCTTAGAACAAAAAAAGTCTCATTAATGCTCATCACCTTACAAACAACAATATTCCAAACGCCTCCCCCAAAATACATCAATAGAATTTTAAGGTTGCAAGAATCAGCGCTTGAGAGTCCAGAATTCTCAAGTTAAGGTCGTAGATGGTCCCTTAACTGTGCCCACTGGTGTACACACATGATAGTCTTTCATTATATGCAGTGCCGCTGAAGCTGTGTTGGTCCCAGGATATGAGAGAGACAACGTAGGTGAGGTAATATCTTTTATTGGAGCAACTCCTGTTGATTGAAGGTACAAGCTTTTGAGCTACACAGAGCTCTTCTTTAGGTCTCGGGAAGGAAGCAGACCTGAAGAGCTCTGTGTAGCTCAAAAACTTGTACCTTCCACCAACAGGAGTTGCTCCAATAAAAGATATTACCTCACCTAATCTATCTGATTATATAATCACAGTACTTCTCAAACATCACAATACCTAATTTTTTTTTTTTTAAAACACAACCACAGACAGAAAAATATACAGTACTCAACATACTTAACTGGTGAGGGAGTCCAGGATACTTATCAGAATGTATATGGTAGACTGTGTTTACACAATACACGACATAAGTATACAATAGTACTGAAGTTGGGTACGTGTAAAAGACTAGTTTAATGTAACCTACTATGTTAACTAGCTCCTGCTATTTTCTTCTATTACAGATTAAATACAATTGTTACTATAGTTAAGAGTTATATAAGTTATTGCCTTTGAAAAGTCTTCATATGAAGATGATATAATGACAGATTTCAGAGTGGTAGCCTTGTTAGTCTGTATCAGCAAAAACAACGAGGAGTACTTGTGCATCTGATGAAGTGGGTTTTAGCCCATGAAAGCTTATGCCCAAATAAATTTGTTCGTCTCTAAGGTGCCAAAAGTACTCCATGATATAATGAGTAATGGCTGACAAACTACAGTAAGATGGAAGGTTAGATATTAGGCAGGTGTATGCTTAACATGCTTTAAAAGGTCAAGGCAGATACCCTGCATAAACAACATCAGTTGAAAGCAGGGAATGAAATAAAGCAACTGATCCAGCACTGGAAATGCCAAAACTAAAGCAGACTGTCATAGTCCAGGAAACCCCAAGTTAAAAGCAGGAATATGTTAAGAAATAAACTACATAAACCAATGTGTGATTCTAATTGAGCTCTGAGTTTACAGTGGAAGTGAAGACAACACCTTCTCGGCCCAATCTGTATTATAGTAAACCCATTTTGTCTCTACTACAAACTTTGATGGTATTCAAACACAAATATACTGATTTGAACACTGCTTACCCAAAACTTTCTACTATGTTAAGAGGTTCTTACCATGTGGGCCTTGTCGACCAGCTGCAGCTAGTATATCTGCTTCAACATTATCATCCTCTGGTAGGGGCCTGGTCCAGAAAAAGAAAGACACTTGTTGCAGGAAACACTTGCAAATTATTTAGTGAAAAATCCGATATTAATCTTTAGACCAACACATATAAAGTGACATTGTGGGTTTGGAATCAGATTAAACATAGCTTGGTTTAGACCACAAACATCAGCCAAGCAGAGCATTACCATGGCTGAACAGCGATTTGCAGTTTTCAAGTGAGCCTTACCTGCTGATGTAATAAAAACCCAAACCAGTAGTTACTGCCAGTTATTATTGCAAGCACTGGATTGTTCTATGTTCTTATTAAAAATGTGATGTTTTAAAAGTTAAGCAAGACCAGAAAAGTACTTAACTTGTATTTTATTATGAAGCACAAAAGGTGCCTTAGAGGCAAATAATTTAGTTAGATGGTGCTTTAGAAACCCTATGTCCTGCTAAAAATGCACAATGTCCTAGTTTCCATCCAGGCAATCTTAACAAGATACCTATACACTAAGATGAAGCAAAAAGGCATAAAGATATATATATAAAAGACTATTTTAACTGAATAGTTTAATTACAACTATTAAAAAAAACTACATGCCACACAAAATTGGAAGCTAAAGTGAAACAAGGTTTCTTCAAGTCTTGGGCCAAACTCGTTATGAAGCAATAAAAAGAAAGAGCAAGGCTGGGTAAAGTTTTAGATGACAATTTATAAAAAACAGTATATAAATGTTTCCTTCTTAACAGCTTAAACTATCCACAGTTTACGTTTCAGGAAAATTTACTGTCCTATTCTAAAGCGCACCTGAAAGCTCCAATTTGAAGTTCTACCACCATATCAAAGATCAAGCTCCAAAATTTGACCTGATTTATATTTAAGTCTTTTTCCCTACTTGCACAGTTTATGTAATTTTCTGGGGTGTTTTGGAAGTGTTTTAATGAATTTTCAAAAAGCTTGGAAGCGTAGACAGCCCAGAATTGATTTTCAACTTAATTTCCACCCAGTGCATTTGAGCACATGATACTTTTTAGTCTTTGAAAGCATTCATAAGAATATGAAGCACTTCAGAATTATGCAAAGTTACCTTAAAGCTTTAAGGTATAGTTCTCATTGCATGAATGTAGGAAGTTCACAGACTAATATTCCTCCTTGCTTACATGTTGCTAACAATAAGAGCCCTTCCCTATTCATTAAAAGGCAAGTTCATCCATTAAGTTCTGAGACCCTTTAAGCTGTACTATATTAGTAGAATTAGTTTTAAAAGAACATGTTTCTAGTGATTGGTTCACATGAGATCATATTAACATCAGGCATAGGGGCAAGTGGCCCATACTGCCCAAGGAGCATACAAACATAAATATGCTGTAGAGGCAGGATGAATGTCTGGCTGGCTCAGGTTGAAGTGCTAACTATACTGCAGTTGATAGCCTTTGTTCTAAAGGGGCACAATTTCAGTTTAACAGGTTATTGGAAAAGTTTTACAAATAAAAAGAAAATCTCTCACCTTGGAAAGTCTTCATCTTGCCACTCTTCCTTAAATTCAACACCTTCCATCCTCAGCCTTGCCTCAGTAGCTAATACAGACTCCTGGTGAGCCAAGAACTGTAGACAAGACATTTTAAAATGTTTAACACTGCCATGTTCTCTCCATTCCCACCCATCCACTCCAGAAACAGCATTTAAGTAGTGACAGTGCACTAGACACTCAAATGACAAATGAAGAACAGTCTATCCTAGAAGAGTAAGATAGTAAAAGATCAGACAGAAAGGCACTAGGAGGGAGAACAGCCTTATGGTTAAAACACTGGACTACAGTTCACGAGTTCTGCATTCAGTTTTGCCACAAATTTCCTGTGTGATGTTGGGTAAGAACCTACTCTGCCTCAGTATCCCATTTTTAAAATAGAGATAGACTTGTCTATCTCACAGGGATGTTGTGAGGATCTGATGTTTTGGGAGATACTCAGAGAGGAATGGAATAGTATAAGTACCTACAAAGATCAAATGGAGATTACTTTTTTTTTTTTTTTAAATTGGGATGTTGAGATGTTGTCATGGGTTAGTGTTTGTGGGCCTTCAGTTTTCAGAAATCAGTTGACTGAAAACAGAGATCCTAGCACGCTGTTCCTAACATTGTGGGCAACATTATAAGAAATAAAGGAAACAATGAGAACGGCATGAATAGCAAGAGTGTAAGGGGAACAATGGGAAAAGAGACATCAGCAGATACACAAACTGCGGCAACATTATGCAGAGAACTAAAGAAAGGATGAGAGCATCAAGCTTGATTTGCTTAATGAAGAAGGAAGGCCACAGAAGAATGATATGAAGAGGGGGACATTTGATCATGGGACAATTATGATTTTGATAGATAAAACCAGTTCTCTTCAATGTCCCTGCCATGATAGTATTTCCCATTCCTGAAAGGTGAACAGTATATCTGAAGAACATACTTAAGTATTCTTTTTGGCCTGTCCATTTTAGTATCTAGTTGTAAAATAAAGCAAGAAATTAGTCTTCTGAATCACTGTTGGGCTGTGTGTCAGTTTCTGGTGTTCTAAATAAGATCCTATCTGCTGGATTTTGGAAGTTATCCTAGTCTTCAATAATAGTAAAATTCTGCTCTCACAGCCACAATCCAGCTTTCAAATCACACCTTGTCATCCCTACATGGACCTGCCTCACAGATGGGAGAGCAGAGTTTAGTCTACAGAACTGCAGAATGAAGGAATTAGAAGGGATATGAAAGAATGGACTACTTGCAATTAGTCACATGAAATGCTCCTGGGGAAGATTCCTGACACTAGCACCACATGGGAAATCTGGAAGCACAACTTGCTTAATTTTATGTCAGTCCCCTTGCCCCCCCCCCCCCCACCTTTTTTGGAAATTCTATTGGTTTAATTCAGCAAAATGAAAACTGATATTGAATACATAATCTTCTGTAATGCTGATGATTTCTTGGAATTAGCTCAGCACAGCCCACTGACAGTTTTAATATTGCTTTCTTTGTTCCTTCCTCTCCCCCCTGCCTTACTGCCATCATTGCAGTTTTATCTCAACATCTTACTTTCCAAGATGAACTTTCACCACCTTTTCCCCATGATGCCCCCCTAAACAGCAGCAATGGTGTAAAGGAAGGAAGCATTATATAGAAGATTTAAAACTACTTATTCAAATGTGGGAAACAAAGAACAGAAGATATGATTTTTTTTCAGTCTTTGCAGTGCCTTTCATTTCATCTCTGTTAGAGGTGGTACAATCAACTGAAAATCTGTAACGACTGATGGCTTTAAGACTTCTCTAGAATCTTTACCACAATTCCATCTCTGAAAACAGCATTTACTTAGCATGTAAACTTGAATCATGTGATTTCATCAAAAATTACTAATGCAAATATTAAGCTGATACACCTCAGAGTTTAGTGATGAGCTGACAGCTTAAGGGATAATTGCCAAAATGAGAATTGAGGGAAAATGTTACATTGAAAACTTGAGAATCCTGGTAATTTTGCAAAGCCATACAATGTGTTTTGGACCTTGCTGATAATATAGATCAAACTGAACTAAAGGTTCTGGCCCAGTGAATTCATGTACTAATTTAAGTCCTCTCGGTAATACTTCAAAGCTTTTTATGCACCCCCATTAGATCCTCTTAATGATTTTGCTACTGTTTCTTTAGAATCTACAACTGATTGTAAATAAATCACAAGTCATATTTAGAAAACCAAGGGCAACATTTTTAATGTTGTGTACTTCTTCCCAGATGTTAGTAAGCTGACTTGTATAATTTAATGTCAAAGCTAGTTAAGAAAGACAAGAGGTTCTTGTATAGCTGATCTAAAGATTTCTTGTCATTCTGATTTCATAAAGGAAGAGTTCCTAAGTGAATCAAAACAATAGAGAATTCAGTCTTACCTGAAGAAAACTACTAGTTTTTATTTGTGAGGAAGTAAACCTACAAGAGATTTTATTCTTGATAGTTAACAAGAAAAGGAGATATCAATACTAAAGCACATTAAGCTTATCAGCTCCTCTCATGCTGGAGAGAGAGAAAGGAACTAAATGATTATCTTTATTTCCAGGATTTGTGCTCACCTTTGATGTCTGTGACTTTGTCAAAGGTGACCTACATATATATGACACTAACTGCTGGAGCCTTTAACCTTTATATCTAATACACAATTTATTATAACTTTATAAACATTATATGACTATGTTGATGAACTGCAGACTACAGCCAGGGTTAGGAATAATTTAACATGTCTGATTCAGAATATTTTCCTGGCATCTTTATAACTACGTCTCCTTTTTCATGTTAACTAATCTTGTTTTGTAAGCCACAACAAGAATGCAAACATTGCTTCAATGTGGGAAAATATCACCTGTATATTTTTAAATTAATATTTGCTCATTGAAGCTTCCATAAGCTCCTGGCATTTTTGCAGGAGCAGTCCAAATCAGGTGCCCAATTTGGACAAAAGTCATTCCGCAATTTAGGCCAGAGAGATAGAATACTATCAATACAAAGGTAAAGCACCTGCACAAGAGGTGCTTTAAAAAAAAAGTTCTGCAAGAACTAAAAGTGTGAAAGGGTCAAATCAGCATCTCTATAACGTTTCCACTTGCAAACAGTTTCAATCATCTATTGCTTTGCCACTTATCTATATGGCATCTATTCCTTCGAGCTGACCCAGATGTTGGATATTACATAGTTAATTTACTAACAAGTACAACATGTTCGGTTAAAAACCCCCGAGAGATGCTCTAGCAGGCTGAACCTTGTAGGGAGACACTTTGCTAAGTGTCACAAGTCAACCCACAGTGTCCAGCCAAATACTTTTATGGCAGACAGCACTGAAGTGTCTCACCTGAAAATGAGAATATGAACTGAGAATGATTAGTACTAGTAACTATGAAGATTATTATATCAAATAAGTTTCACTTGCTAGCTGTCTCCTAATTGTTCTGCTGGTAATTGGTTAATACTTATGAGGAAACTGTGCACCAGTTAGGTTTTGAAAAAATGTCAAGTATTATTGTAAGATATTAATAGCTTTTAGTAAACTGGATTACATCAATCCATTATTGCCACAAACTATCAAACAATAGAAATCTCCCAGTAATTCTGGAAATGGTAATGAAGTTATTCTCTTCTGTCTCAGACAAAATTAAGCAAAGTCTTATGGTCTAGTTTGATTTTGAACAGTGCCTTAAAGGTTTATTGGAATTCCACATTTATCTCAAAATTAGAACATTTTTTCAGATAGTTAATTTTTTTTTAAAGCAAATTCACTCTGGGACATTCAAATGAAGCTGTGTTGTTCTTTCAGGCTCACACATCACCAGTAACAAGGAGTCACAAACAGAATCCAGCTCAGAATCTCATAGCTATGTTGATTTTACAGGATTGACAGGAGTTTGCTGCAGTAAGAACTTATCACTGAAGAAAGCATGAAATGCACAAGAGTCAAATTTATTGATTAAGAAGGTGCCATTGGACTGCACTTTGAGTTACATACCACCACAATGGAGAATAAACTTTAAATCTGATCACGCAGCTAAAGCAGCCAGACTATATAAAGGGCTAAATTGCCAGAAAACTGTTTTGTTAATTCTTATTAAAAGGCACACAAGAAGTGATGGCCCTCCTACACCGAAACAAGAACCATCAATGTACAAAATGTACAGTCTTCTCCATTCCTGAATGGCATACAACCACTGGTAGATGCAAAAATTTTCTGCACTGTTTGAATCACAAACAATCCCCATGACATAAAACCAATTTCTACATTCGCTACAATTATTTTTAAGAGCTACTGATTTTATGTAGCACAGCAATGTCAAGTAGACAAAACTGCAGAGCGAGACCAAAAGATAATTAATATGATTCATTTAGCCAATGAGCAAACTCTCAATAGCTACCCCTTGAAGAAAGCAGTGCACTTTCACCTGAAAATTCAGCTGTGTTGGCTACAACTTTATCACCACAGTTCAGTTACATCTGAGACACTAGTTTCTTAAACATGTACTCCAGAGGGTTCCCTCTCCAGGTCATGACAAACTTCCCTCTACAGTTCTAAAAAGTCATGACATAGCTCCTGGTGTTTGAGTCAAAATATTTTCCTTATAAGGTTTAGCCTCTGTTACATGTTGAAACTGGACACTAACAAATCAGTGTCTCCTAATTAATTAAGTGATCAATGTTTCTAATAGACAGTAAATATCAAACATTTGGAAGAAAGTTACATGATTGGAGCTAGACATTCCTATCAATAAGGGCAGGTACATTTTGAACACGGCCTTTTCCATAGGAGTATTTCTCTTCTGGAGAACCTAACTCAGTCAAAATATTTCTCAATATAGACTGCAGAACAGAAGACTATATACAAAGGGAAGGTTTTGTAAGAGTAACAACCAGCAGAGAATACTTTGTGTAGAGTAAAAAGATAAGAACAATCAAGGTTAATGAGAGAAAACTGGAAAGAGCCCGCTTTAACGTGAAAATAAAAGATAATTAGAAATTAAAAAGAATAGGGGAGATTAAGAAATGAGAAACTCACGTCCATGCAGTTCCTAACGTGGCACTTTCAGATGATGCTTTTTAAGAGACTGTATACACTGCATTGACATTTAAAATCCCAAATACCATGAGCAAGTTTTCCTCTCACTACATGTGTGGAGTATGCTGTGTATCAGCTGACAACTGTTCTTTACCTCAGAGGTTGCTGCATTTCAATGGGCAAGCAATCCCTGTGTGTACACATTTTATGAGACATTTGGATAAACTTGAAAGATATTACTTAAGTATGTAACATGAACAGGATTTGAACATTTGCTCAAGATGCAAAAGTTTAGAAGTTATTCTATAAAAGAACTTCCCAGATCTATTAACTAGGCAGGAGGAGAGAGATGATTGCAACTGGATTCTTATCAGCAATATTCTATTCACTGATGAACATGTAGCTATATTTAAGAAGCAGGTATTTTTAAGGACTGTGTAACACAATTGTAAGTCATTTACAAGAACAATTTCAAGCCCTGCATAAGATATTGTCTGCAAAATACATGCTGATTTAAGGGAAGATCAAATTTTGGGTCAACTAAACTTCAGTATCTCTTTAAACATTCATTCAGATTAAACAGTCAAGATAGACAAAACAGTCTAAGTGAAGCTTCATGCATGAAAGCACTATCATCTAGAAGCTACAAGAACATGAAACTAATAACAGGAGTAATAAGCAGCATCAGTTTGAAGGAAGTCAGAATATTGCTGACTCGCGAATTAGCTACAGAATAATTTGACACATTTTGCTCACAAATGCTTACAAAGCAGAAAAAAAGAGAGCCCACTACTACAATTTCTGCTTATGCAGTTTCTAAACAAAAATCTTCAGTACATGATCCCTAACCTGCTGCTCTAACAGTGTTGGACCCACTATGTTATTTTATCTCCTAACTTACTTCCTTAACAAAGCACCTCAACCTATATTTTTATTTCAGTAATAGAAGAACAAATTAAAATTAAACTTAGCTATGTTTAGTATGCCCTGATAATGCAGTTCACGCTCAGACAAAGTTTTAAGGAAAGACTGGGGGGAAAAACCAATAATTTTTCTCTGGTTCTCACCCACTCCTCCCCACAAGCAGCCACAAGTACTTCTTTTCTTCTTGGAACAGTGAGCTTCGTTTTCTTTCAATACCTGTCCATCACTTTACCTGTATAATTAATTGAAGCTTGATCTCTTAGAAGCTAAGTTTGCTATATAGATAGCTACAGTAATGAAGGTCAGACAACTTCCAAGAGATGAAATTCACATCACATGGCTGGTGTGCAGTTCTGCTCCCTTACAAGAGCCAAAGTTTGGCTTTTCAGTGACTTTCATATTCCAGGTGTCCCAAAGCACACAAATTTGGATGTCAAAACCAGATTTTCTGCACAGGAAAGTATCATTAAAATCCAATTCTTACTCTTTTGATAGAGGCAGTAGCAGCATTAATGTTTCAAAATTAAATATACAATTGTTATTTGAAGGTCCATTTCTAGAATCTATGGACAAAAACACTTGGCCACTGACACGGTAACAATATATCAGTTTGTTTCATAGTTTGGAGTATCAGTAAATCAGCTATAGATTGAGTCTTCACATCCTATCCATTACCATCTCATTGTTTGAGGCAGGTCCTTTAGATCAGGGTTCAAATAAACTAGCAAACCAATATAGTAAAGTTTGCCTTCCTACTGCCCTTGCTTAACCTGGTTTGTGGTTAAGTAGCTCAGATCAATAGAACTAGAGATTGGACACCTATCCAAGTACTAAAAAACAAAAAACCTTGGTACAGAGATTGCGTCCTTCCTCTCTTTGGAATCTATACCACAGTTGGTTCTATAGTTAAAACTAGAGACCATCAGAAGTCATAAGATTCACAAGCAAACAGCAGTTGTTTGTACAAAATTAAGAGTGTGGTACAAGGAAGAGGACTTTATACATTCAGTCCTGGATCAGCATAGGATCACTTGGAAGTAGTGGTAGCTTTAAAGTACATCTTCTGAACCAATATGGCTAGAATTAAATATTGTATAACAGAAACTAGACAGTCTTATCTTTCCACATGTATAGAGCATTCATTTCTAGCCCTAGCAAGCCCTAATGATCTTAGTCACTACCTTGTCAACAACTTGATGCTAAAGGATTATGCATCATGTTGGATGGAGTTCAATCTTTCAGATCAGTAAATCCATTCCATTCTAACACTAGCAGTGATTTTAAAGTGACTTCACAGCAAGACAGGATGTGTGGTGGATTAACAGTAATGGCTTCAGGTGTAGTAAGTTTTTCTAAGTACTGGCCCTGGACCAATGATCAGATAAAAAGTTCTATTTTCGGTTTAGAAAAATTGTTAACTTTTAGTTCCAATCTCTTTTGATCACTTATACTATCTAGAAAACACTGCTTTACATTTTTCCACAGCATGTGAGAGAGAACATTAAGTTAGTTATCTTACCAGCTAAGCATGAAATTTCAGTTCAAGTTGCCTTTAAAATTTATAAACTTTTTGTAACGACAACAACATCATTTTCAGCTTTGGTAACACTTTCAGAAGAACTGTGACTAGAAAGAAAAGGAGTACTTGTGGCACCTTAGAGACTAACCAACTTATTTGAGCATAAGCTTTCGTGAGCTACAGCTCACTTCATCGGACGCATACTGTGGAAAATACAGAAGATGTTCTTATACGTAAAAACTGAAAAAATGGGTGTTTACCACTACAAAAAGTTCTCTCTCCCCCCACCCCACTCTCCTGCTGGTAATAGCTTATCTAAAGTGATCACTCTCCTTACAATGTGTATGATAATCAAGGTGGGCCATTACCAGCACAAATCCAGGGTTTAACAAGAACGTGGGGGGGGAGGGGGGATGTAGGTAGGACAAAACAAGAGGAAATAGGTTACCTTGCATAATGACTTGTAAGGAGAGTGATCACTTTAGATAAGCTATTACCAGCAGGAGAGTGCGGTGGGAGGAGAGAAAACCTTTTGTAGTGGTAAACACCCATTTTTTCATGGTTTGTATGTATAAGAACATCATCTGTATTTTCCACAGTATACATCCGATGAAGTGAGCTGTAGCTCACAAAAGCTTATGCTCAAATAAATTGGTTAGTCTCTAAGGTGCCACAAGTACTCCTGTTCTTTTTGTGAATACAGACTAACATGGCTGTTACTCTGAAACCTGTGACTAGAAAAATAGCATTTCCAAATTCAACCAAGTGGCAGAGAGTTACCCAAATTAAAACACCATTATATGTTTTACTGCACCTGAGCAAAACCCTGTTTGAATTGCTTGTAAGTTTGTGACATGAGGTTAAAAAAAAAAAAATGAAATAACCATTAATCTTTATCAAGTACTAACTACCTGTTAAGTTTCAAGTCCTTCCCACCCTTCAGAAAGTAATAAAAATGCCTTGCTTCATAAGCATCTTGTAACTCTAAAAATAGCTTTCACTGATGAGGAAATTGCATTAAATTCCATTTCGTAATAGCAATACTGAACTCTAGGTAATGCACTGTACAGCAGTTATTGCTTTAAGTTGGGTAAAGGCACTTTGGCTTTGTGCCTCAGAATATAGCCCAAGGCGTTATAATCATCTTGAAGCTCACCACCTAGAATGTCTTATTGCTTAATAAACCAATCATTTAAGGTGGCTAACAAGAACACAGCTGTGCAATTAACAGACTTGACACCAGATTAAGCACAGATATGCTGGAAGAGATGGAGTTGTTTATGAATTTTATGCTGAAAATACTGTTAGAAGATTAGTAGTAATCACTTTAAATCAACATAATGATCATTAGTGTTTATCAAATCATTAGTACAAAGAACTTCTACTTGGAAAACAGAGGAGAGTGTTGCAAGTTGTATGTACTCACCTACCCTGGTAGTTTCCACTGAAGAAACTTGGGCAAAACTGAAAAACATCTTAAGTGTCTGTTTCAGTTGTTAAATACATGTGATAATGCAGCCACTCTGTATCTATAGCCTAACTAAACACAATCATCATTTAAAGAAAGATTTAGAGTTCAGCCAGCAGTTCCTCAACTGTGATCCACCACGATTTGATTCATACATGGTGCTGGGCTCCTCCTCGTTTCCAACTATTAAAATACGCTAGAAGTTAACACTAATTTCTTTCCTCATATTACTTTTTGATGTATGCAACTGTTCTAGTTGGGATACAGTTATTTAATATTCAATGGCAGGGGTAATCCATTAAATCATGAGGGAAGAGAAGGTGGTCCATGAGACTAGTTTCTGAAAAAAATTGGGAAACCTACATTAATACAAGGCCAGTGGAGTTTTGAGCAACTTCTATTGCTGTGCTGTGTAGAGAGAAAGAACGTAAGCATTCAGCTGAAGTTTGAAAAAAATTTAAGTGAATTTAGTATTCCAGGGGCCAATAGATTGAACCTAGCTCACTATTTCCTGTAAGTTAGTGTGGTGTATCCATCTAAATATTCAGAACCTGTTACTATAAAAATTGGGACAGCCAACATTTATCTATTTTAATCTAGCAATCAACCCAGGATTTTATTTTTATTTTTTTGTCAGTTTTGACAAAAAAGGAAGCTCAAGATTAACAAGTTTCATCTTTTCTGCAGGGTAAACACTAGAAGCTGTTCCTACTCTCAACAGCTACATTTTGGAAATAAGGGGTTGTCTGTTCATATGATAGTAAAGCACTGACCACGCTCTGAACTTTGTGATATCGTTCTGTTCTGCCTGCTGCCTGTTGAATTGACCGCATATTAAAGAACACACTCCACACCAATTCAAAATATGATTTTTGTATGTTTCAATCAAACCTACTCACAAGAACAGAGTAAGACTGAGCGGGAGGAACAACTCTGATATCATAATCAATAAGGCTGACAAAGGAGGTGCTGTCGTTATCATGAATAAGTTGGAATATGAACAAGAGGCTGCTGGGCAGCTCTCTAACTCTCCTACAGGCCATTATCCTCTGATCCCACTAAGGATTACCAAAAGAAATTACACCATCTGCTCAAGAAACAGATCTGTGCAGACACATGCCTAGAACCCCGACCAGGGGCATTCTATCTGCTTCCCAAGATCCATAAACCTGGGAATCCTGGTCGCCCCATCATCTCAGGCATTGGCACCCTGACAGCAGGACTGTCTGGCTATGCAGACTCTCTCCTCAGGCCCTACGCTACCAGCACTCCCAGCTATCTTCGAGACACCACTGACTTTCTGAGGAAACTACAATCCATCGGTGATCTTCCAGAAAACACCCTCCTGGCCACTATGGATGTAGAAGCCCTCTACACCAACATTCCACACAAAGATGGACTACAAGCCGTCAGGAACAGTATCTCCAGTAATGTCACAGCAGATCTGGTGGCTGACCTTTGTGACTTTGTCCTCACCCACAAGTATTTCATGTTTGGGGACAACGTATACCTTTAAGTCAGCGGCACTGCTATGGGTACCCGCATGGCCCCACAGTATGGTAACATTTTTATGGCTGACTTAGAACAACGCTTCCTTAGCTCTCGTCCCCTAACACCCCTACTCTACTTGTGCTACATTGATAACATCTTCATCATCTGGACCCATGGAAAAGAAGCCCTTGAGGAACTCCACCATGATTTCAACAATTTCCATCCCATCATCAACCTCAGCCTGGACCAGTCCACACAAGAGATCCACTTCCTGGACACTACAGTGCTAATAAGCGATGGTCACATAAACACCACCCTATACCGGAAACCTACTGACCGCTATACTTACCTACATGCCTCCAGCTTCCATCCAGGAAACACCATACGATCCATTGTCTACAGCCAAGCTCTAAGATACAACCGCATTTGCTCCCATTCCTCAGACAGAGACAAACACCTACAAGATCTCTATCAAGCATTCTTAAAACTACAATACCCACCCGTTGAAGTGAAAAAACAGAACAAACAGAGCCCGAAGAGTACCCAGAAGTCACCTACTACAGGACAGGCCCAACAAAGAAAACAACAGAATGCCACTAGCTGTCACCTTCAGCCCCCAGCTAAAACCGCTCCAGCGCATCATCAAAGATTTACGACCTATCCTGAAAAATGATCCCTCACTCTCACAGATCTTGGGAGACAGACCAGTCCTCCCTTACAGACAGCCCCCCAACCTGAAGCAAATACTCTTCAGCAACCACACACCACATAACAAAAACACTAACCCAGGAACCTATCCTTGCAACAAAGCCCGATGCCAACTCTGTCCACATATTTATTCAAGTGACACCATCATAGGACCTAATCACATTAGCCATGCTATCAGGGGCTCGTTCATCTGCACATCTACCAATGTGATATATGCCATCATTCACCAGCAATGCCCTTCTGCCATGTACATTGGCCAAACCGGACAGTCTCTACGCAAAAGAATAAATGGACACAAATCTGACATCAGGAATCATAACATTAAAAAACCGGTAGGAGAACAGTTCAAGCTCTCTGGCCACTCAGTAAAAGATTTAAGGGTGGCAATTTTGCAACAGAAAAGCTTCTAAAACAGATGAGAAACCGCTGAAGCTTGAATTAATATGCAAACTAGATACCATTAACTTGGGTTTGAATAAAGACTGGGAGTGGCTGGGTCATTACACATATTGAATCTATTTCCTTAAGTAACCTCACACCTTTCTTGTCAACTGTCTAAATGGGCCATCTTGATTATCACTACAAAAGTTTTTTTCTCCTGCTGATAATAGCTCATCTTAACTAATTAGCCTTTCACAGTTTGTACGGTAACTTCCAACTTACCTGCACGTGTATATCTTACTACATGTTTCATTCTAGGCATCCGATGACGTGGGCTCTAGCCCACGAAAGCTTATGCTCTAATAAGTTTCTTAGTCTCCCATAAGTCCTCCTTTTCTTTTTGCGGAAACAGCCTAACACAGCTGCTACTCTGAAAGCAAAACACAGCTGGGAGGGGGAGGGATAGCTCAGTGGTTTGAGGTTTGGCCTGCTAAACCCAGAGTTGTGAGTTCAATCCTTGAGGGGGCCATTTAGGGATACGGGGCAAAAATTGGGGATTGGTCCTGCTTTGAGCAGCGGGTTGGATTAGATGGCCTCCTGAGGTCCCTTCCAACCCTGATAGTCTATGAATCTATGAACCTAACTAATGATCTAGTACACATAACAGCTTTGCTTTTGAGATTTTATGTTAGATACGGTTATTACTGCAGTTTCATACAGTAGTTTAAGGTATACGTTACTGTAAAAGCACATCAAAGGCCAGTTCCTACCTCCAAACTTAGAGAAAGGGCGCCCAACAAAGAGCCTGGGCAGCCCAACTGAACCGTGGCCAAGGCTAGTTACACTTACCAAGTACGACGTTATCCTAAGCCACACGCCGCAGGCCACTGAGCGGCCGGCCAGAGACAGAGCAACCCCCCCGCCCCGCCCTGCCCTGCCCCTGCTCGGGGGATGACCCAAGAACGGGGCCGCCCTCCAACAATGAGCAAGGGACTGCCCAGCCGCCCCAGCACCCCCCGCCTCAGTCACACCCCTCCAGGGGGCTCCTCTCTCCTCCCGTCCTCGCCGAGCTAGCAAGAGAAACTGGCCTCTCCCGCTCCCCGGCCCCCACCCCCGCCGCCCGGGCAGCCCCTCCTCAGCCACAGCGGCGTCTCCCAGCCCCTTGGGGGCTTCCGCCGCTCCGGCGGCGGGCGCGGGACGTACCGAACGGGGAATAAATCCTTCCAGGCGGCGGCTCCGAGTCGCCCGGGGCAGCGGAGAGACCCCAACGCCTCCCGGCCCCACCACCGCCCTGACCCGGAACCGGATAGGAGGGGCGATAGGAGGAAGCAAAGGCCGGAGAGCGGCGGGTCATACGGCCCCGCGGGGGGAAACGGCCCGAGGCGTTGCACATGGGGCGCATGCGCAGCGAGTTCCGACCCAACCACCTCGGGCCGCGGGGAGAGCGAGATGGACGCTGCTGTGAAGCGAGGCGCCGAGCCCCGCCAGTGGACGTGCGGGGGCATCGGCCGCCTCGCTACAGGATGGGGCCCCTGGGCGGGCGGCGCTGTGCGTCCCCCTAGCCGGGCAGCTGCCGGAGGAGGGAGGCTGGGCACGCCCCCCGGGGCCCCGTTTGACAGGGGTTGAGGCAATGAACGCCCCAGTGGGCTGCACTGGGAATTAGGCACCAAACTCCCATTGCAGAGCTGGGCCTCAGCCGCTGGGGTCTCCAGCCCTATCTATAAACAGGGCCCCGCGTCACATGGAGGGGAGGGGCTCCTGTACCCTGCTGGCAGGGGTGCTGGAACCACGTGTAAGTGGGGGTGCTGAGAGCCCTTGAACCAAAGTGTAAACCCTGTACAAGCTGGAAACCACTTCAAATCAGGGGGTGCAGCAGCACCCCTAGTTCCAGCACCCATCCATGTGTCCCATCCATCCTTCAAATCAGGGGGTGTATCAGTGCCAAGGGCAGGTAGCTAGGAGTCAGGCTGGCTCCAGTCTTCACAGGGATGAAGCCGCTTCTCTCCCATCGAAATCAGGGAGAATGAAGCACCTAAATACCTTGGAGGATCTGGGTCTTGGTGCTCTATTCTCTACCCAAGCCCCAGGGGACTTTGTGACTGAAAAGCAGTAACAAGGCTCGGTGCTTATCATGCCAGTGAGAAATTATTCCCTATACTGCACATCAATTTAATAATAAAACTATAAACATTTACCAAAACGAAAAAAAAAGCAATGTGTCAAAGCAATGTACAAAGTCTTGTACCTCTAGAAGCTGGAGGTTCATATGAGGCTAGTGCTGTCTACCTTCAAGGCGTGGGGCAAGTCCCACTTCTTCACAAAAGCATTTTCCAAAGGATGAAGTGTCCCTGCCTTGCCCCTCCAAAAAAGCAAATAAACAAAAATCACCACTGGAAAAAAGAGTAGTGGTCCATGCTCCATTCAGACAAATCTAAATAAATGCATCCACAAAGCATTTTGATGTGTGCTTTAGAAATGTGTGTAATTATTCTCAAAAGACGGGCTCTTTTCCATAGAAAGGAAAAGTTTCTACATATTGATATGTATCAAGGTTATAATTTTTAAAATAGCCACACACTTGGAAAATAAAAAATTAAGATGTTTCAGTGGGTCAGGAGTTGCATCCAGAATGTCCTCCTACTGCATGAAATAATGTTATGCAATTGCATTTTGAGGAAAGGAGAAATACAAATACAGGTATTTAGCCAAAAAGTCGTCTTCATCATTATCACATTCCTTTCTTGTGGTGGTGGACAGGGGAGACCGGGTCGAGGAAAAGGAAAACTGCTCAATTGGCTGGTGGCTAGAACTGGGTCTGAAAATCAGGATATCTGTATTCTATTCTGCTTCTGGTGGTGACTGTGTTCTTGGGCAAGTCAGTTCAGCTTTCCTATTTGTAAAATCGAGAGAATACCTACATCAGAGATGATATGTGACACTTGTGCCAAAATTATCAAATTTGGGTCCCAAAAGTTAGGCACCTAAATCCTTTCGGTAAATAAGTGGCCTAATTTTTTAGAACTGCAGAGTCTCAATGTATACTTTTGAAGTCAAAGGAACAGGAGGGAACTCAGCACTAAGTCATAGCTAATTTAACTTAAAGTTAACTCACATTTAAAAACTGCCTTGAGATCTTTGGACTTCAACCATTTTAGATGGCTAGCTAAAACACTTATGCCACTGCTATATTAATCATAAACCTTTACAGAAGTTACATTTTTCTGACCACGCACATAGATCCAACTAGGACACTGATCTATTACCACATTATCCTCCACCCTTTCAACATCTTCCCAGTGAAGTCACGTACCTTGCCTATCATAGACTTTGAGGTAGTCCTCCCACACAGGTCTTTATGCAAGAAAATCATTTTTGTCTGTAGTCTGTGTTCCAGCACAGGTGCAACTGCAGCATTGCTCTCAACAAGATAAAAATGCTAGTGTAAATGGGCTCAGGCATTTTTACCACCATGTCATGAAAACCTGATGAGCTCGCTTCCTTTCACATAAGCAGGTTTTCATAATGTTGGGTAAAAACTCCTGAGCACTGTTTACACGAACGCTTATATCATTTCTAACTGTGCAGCTGCACTGTTGCTAAAAATGGGTACAAACTTTTCTAGGGCAGGTGCAACGGAAGATTCAGATCAACACAATGTCACTCTCAGACTATTATACTGTGAGTGGTCAGATTTATAAAGAGCTCAGCACATTGCCACCATATTGCGGCAGCTGCTAACCCAGCCAGTTTCTCTTCACTTCCCCCACCCTAGGTTGCCAAGGCAAGGGTGGAAGGGTGCAAAAAAATGAAGTCTGTTTCAGGGCAAAGAGGAGGGTCAATATAGAACTGGGAATAAACAAGTAAGAATGAGGGGGAGAGATGGAGGAAAGAGGAGGGGGGAATGGATTTAAAGGTGTGGAGGAAGAGAGGAGCAATGAGCAGAGAAAAGTGAGAAAAGGAAAAAGAAGACAAAGATGAAGAAAAATATGACAGAGCACATAGACAAAAGAAGAGCAATTAATAAGGTAAGGTCCTGAGGGTGGTGACCACATTATCTTATGTGTTTGTACAGAGGTTAGCACCATGGGCCCTAATATATATTGGGGCCTACAGGCACTACCATCATATATATGTTTAGTAATCAAATAATAATTATAACTCAGAGCAAGAGATGGTTTAAATAAGGAAGAACTGCGTGTACAGATACAAGTTGAAAAATGCAAAAAAAGGCTGAGACTTGAAAAAAATAGCAAAAGGGACACAGATGGTAAATACCTCCTACCTTGATTGTACATCCCCATTTTGATTCTGGGAAGGTGAGGACATCAAAGAACAAGTTGGATGGGCATTGCTTGGTTGTAAAGTGCACAGGGATACCTTTCTTCTTTCTCTGCCCCCATGTCCTTTATACACCTCCTTGAATGTCTGTCACACCATTGCTTGTGCACCTCACTTTGAAATATCCTCCCATCCATACGATTCCAATGTTCCACACTGAAGATCCAGTCACCTTAGTTATTTGATCAGTTCCTATTGGCCCAATACATGAAGCATCTTCAGAAGTGGGGGGGGGGGGGGGGGAAAGATTGCCTGTAGGCTGGTTTTCCAATGAGTCACTTGTCCAGGTATTGAAGACAGCCAGCTTGGGGCACTGTGAGCTTATTTGGAAAAAAAGACTCATTACCATTTGTGGAAGATTGGAGTCCTGAATAGCACAATATACTCTGCTATAGTAGAATATCCATGAGTACTATTGGAATTATGCCAGTCTCCTGGGGCTGAGCCCTGTAGTTCATAGAGCTCTATACCTCTTATTCTGGGACATTATACTGAAGGAAAGTGGAGATCCATCATTCAGGCTGTTAAATTCCAACACTGCTCAAGACCTACTTATAGGTCTAGTAGTTTTTATGTTTGAAAATCTTTACTTGTGGGCAAATATAAAAATCAAACCCAAATCTGTTGCAGGTTTCCATGTCACTATTCTTCTACCATGTTTATCTTAGGTAAGGTATAAGATCAGATTAATAACTGATACATTCTCTCATGGAGATTGTTCCCTGCACTTTCATGGATGGATGTAACAACATACAAAGTTTGGTTTTTTACCCCTATAAATAGGGCCCTACCAAATTCACAGGCCATTTGGGTCAATTTCACAGTCATGAGATTTAAAAAATCGTAAATTTCATTATTTCAGCTATTTAAATCTAAAATTTCACAGTGCTGTAATTGTAGGTGTCCTGACCCAAAAGGGGTTGTGTTGGGAGTCATAAGCCTATTCGGGGGTGGGTTGCGGCACTGCTACCCTTACCTCCGTGCTGCTGCTAGCAGCGGCCCTGCCTTTAGAACTGGGCAGCTGGAAAGCTGCAGGCCAGGAGCCCAGCTCTGAAGTCAGAGCTGCTGCCTGCAGAGCTGGGCCCTCAGTCAGCACCCACTATTCTCCAGCTGCCCCCTCTGAAGGCAGCAGTGCAGAACTAAAGGTGGCACGGTATGGTATTGCCACCCTTACTTCTGCACTGCTGCTGGCGGGGCACTGCCTTCAGAGCTGGGCGCCTGGCCAATAGCTGTTGCTCTCTGGCCACCCAGCTCTGAAGGCAGTGCAGAAGGAAGGGTGGCAATACCGCAACCACCCCTAAAATAACCTTGCGATCCCCCCCCGCAACTCCCTTTTGGGTCAAGACTCCCAATTTGAGAAACACTGGTCTCCCCTGTATAATATAGGGTAAAAGCACACAAAAGACCAGATTTCATGAGAGGAGATCAGATTTCACAGTCCATGATGCATTTTTCATGGCTGTGAATTTGGTAGGGCCCTACCTACAAATGACCACATGGTGATACCATTTTGGGACTCCATTTAAGACTAGTCAAAACTTTTCTATCAAAACGGTGTTTCAATTGAAGATTGGGTGATTTCTAAACAAGTATTTTCATGAAAAGTGTCTGCTTTCTGCAGAAATTTGAGTCTCCATTGAAAACTTTTCTTTTTTGGGCCAAAAGTTTTAATTTTTTGATGAAAAGTCAAAATTTTAAGTGGAAAGTTTTGATGAAATTTTTTCTTCCCCATAGGGGAAAAAATTTTGTTTTCTGACAAGCTCTAGAGTTTGCCATTTATGTCATGTAGTGTTTCACCTTCTCCACAAGGTGGCAAAAGATAGCTGGAAATCAATCAGGGTGTTCAAATGTAACCTAGAAAAGAAGCAAAGAAGGGGTCAGAACCAACTGCATAACAAATGTTGAATAACTCTAATTTTTAAACATCAGAAAGTTGTAAATACAAGCATATACTTACATGAAAAGTGTACCAAAAAGAACTAGTTTGTAAGAATAATG